TGTTGTCTGTTAGTTCTGCCAGCTCTCCCTTTTGGTTATTTATACTCGCTGATGAATCATATGTTGTCATGGATGTCACGCCTGCGCAGTAGCCAACGTGAAAATCTGAATCATCGATGGAGAGCAAGGGAGGGAGAGCTGGTTGACTGTAGAGTGATGGGACCCGGCTGAGGAAACAGCAGCGAGTGATCACTCTCCGAGCTGGGAATGACAGGTAAATGCCTATATTTGTCCTTTTTTAAAACACTTAAAGGCAGACCCTGACTGTCACTTCGCAAATAAGCAAATGGGAATTCAAATCATCCTCCACACCTGGAAGAAGCATCCATGTGGAGATCAAGTAGTCTTTGACACTTCGTGTTGTTATTGTGTGCGAATTAGATTATTTGTCTCCTTAATTTGCAGGTCACTTTCTGTGTCAGTAACTAAAACTTCCACAGCCTATAATTACGCACGCAGAGCTCGATGCGCGCTGTCGGATTGGCGACTTTATTTATTTCAGGTGTTTCAGACGTCACTCGACCTGTTTTGCTGAAAAGTTCGCCTTTCTGAATTTGTTTAAAATTCGCAATGTGTGCCTTGTTGCGGCTCTCTGGCGGGTCGGGAGGACGGATGGATCAGGTCTGTTTTCAGACTGGCGTCACACATTACGTCCGTGTGTTTTCCTGCCGGGCTGTGATGGTGATGGCGATGGCGTCCATATCACAGCACTCTGACGTAAATGTAGATTTTACAGCTGCTGTCAAATTGCTTGGCGTTTAGAGCTCAATGTTTGCTGTACTGTCTCTGGGTAATGAGTTAGTGCATCTTATTGGGTTTACTTTGTGGATTTGTACTATTCAACACATATCTATCCACCAGTTTGCCATGATTTGCGTTTGTGGTGCTCTTCTGCACACATGCAGATACAGGAGAAGGGGGTTTATGCATGATCTAGCAACAGACATGCTCACCACCATAAACAAACACAGTTAGACTGCTATGTACCAAGAGCACTGTTCTCGTTTAATAGTCACACAATCCTGCTACATTTTCTTTCTGTTTCAATCCCCATGTACTCAAGGTAAATCTTTCAGAATGGTGTAGAAGTGGGACACTGCTAGAGTACCAACAGACATATTTCTTCTTGTTTTTAACACTACTGAATGCACAGCCAGAAGTTTAAAACCTTGCTTAGCAGTTGTGGAATTGAAATAAGCTTGTTTGATAAACAAAAATGTTAATTTCATTAAGTCTTATCATATTTTCTTTTAATTTTTCTGCTCCTTTCACTTTCACATATTAATGTGATTTGGAGCTAATGTTTTAGTCTCCTTTTAATTTCCTGGTTCATTCAGATGGCAGAACAACAGTCTCTCTACTGTTTTTCACAGGAACAGTTTTTTTTTGTTTGTTGAATAATTCATATCATAAAAGACCACTTCACAGCACAGAGTTTAGCTATTGACCTGTGGAAAATATGACGTGAAAACACTTGTGAATTATCTACTTCTGCCCTCCTTTTCAGGCTGTCAGCAATGTTTCACTGAGCTCAAGTTCTGATATCATTCATGACAAATGGTATGTCATAACTTGCCTCATCTAACAGAAATTACACTTAGTATTCAAAAGACCTCAAACCACCCATTGTCAGGCATATTTCACATTCCCATCACAACATTTTCAAACGGTCAAGTTAACAATGTAAGCAGTTAAAGTAATTGTCACAGAGAGAGCTGTTTTTTTTAAAGATTTACATAATTTGATACATCATTAGGGATGTAAGTGTTGCTTTCTTTCTTTTTGAACATTCAGCTTCCCTATGTAGTTTGAAAAGATTGGTTTTATGACAGGATTAAAATGATTGATTCTTAGATAAGGAGTGAGCACTTTGCTGCCTTTGACGACTCATAGAACCTCAGTCTCTTACTGGCATGGATCCACAAACATCTTATGCTATTGGCAACAGTACGTGTTCCCTTTGGAATTTTTAACAGTTTCAATCCGTCTTCATGGGCGAATGTTGAAGTTTACTGCCTTGTTACCTCTGTTCAGGTGCCAAACACATCAGCTGAGTGCTTCTCTCTGGTCACGAGTCGTGCGTGTGTCGCCATGATGGCTTTGCACAGAAATCTGTCTATTTCTGAGCATCCATCATCTTTAGGATCCAAGCATCCATGGGAGCATTATGATAACAAGGAGAGTGACAAGTGACTCTTCCCTCAGGATTGTGTCACTGCTTAGCATGTATCTTCAAAGACATTTTTATTTGAACGAAGACACACACAATGTTTAAATCAAGATCTAAAAAGATCTTTCATCAAGGTGTTTCTGGATTGAACTTTGTACAAGAGAAATTTAACTACTGTCCATTCATTATTTGTGGATCCTGCTGTTGTAAAAGCCGGGTAATTATTTTAAGCTGCTTTATCTCATGGTGTCATTCGCATGTGGTGACTTTCTACGAGTTTACACCTGTTACACACAGTTCATTTTCTCACTCGTAAGGGGCTGGATGAGGGCTGGTGGGTTGTAAAAAGTAATTTGCTCATGACTTGCCCTGCACTTCATTCAGCGGTTACGGTTCGCAGTAAAAATCACATGTGACTAAATGTATATGGTCATGTTTAGATGAAGAAAAGGTTAGATAGTTAAACTCTGTTTAAATTAAACACCAGATTATGTTTCGATCAAGGTCAAACATGAGAAAAGATTTCTAATATGGGCCGGCCGGCATGCTATTTTAAGTCTGAAGACGAGACCGGGATGTTAATTTTCAAAATGGAACAAAATGTCTCACATGCATTATTGGTGATACACAGCGCAAAATGGAGCTCATTGTGTTGGGATAACATTAGCAAAACCTGCTGCCAAATTCTGTGACTTCTTCTTACAAAACTGTGACCATATCAAGATTCACAACAACTGTCTGCAGACATGCACTTGTTTGATAAAATCCTTTTGACAAAGGATTTTGTGACTGTTCGTGCTTCACTGGAAAGGAAGTACACACATGCAAACAAAACAACCAGGCTGCTGTTATATTATTAAAATAGAGTTGATGTTAAGAATATTTGATCATACATGGTGACATGAAAGTAATCCCGTGTATATTGCAGCAGCCAATGTTTGCCAGTGAAACAATACTGAACATCAAGATGAAGATGACTGGATTGTTTCATAACAGCAGACAAGTATGATGCATCATTAATCTCAATGTACTGAGGGCCCTGTCTCTTCTGCACAGTGTTACATAATTTGGCAGTGTGTGTGTCAAGGTACAGTTTGTGTTCATGAATGCATAAACGCACCGTGCATGTGGGCGCTATTGTATGGCTCCGAGCTAAACGCGTGCTGGAAGCGTGCACGTATGCACTCGTGCTTGGTTTGTTTGTGTTTTTTTAACAGACTGGTGTGAAGGATGACTTCATGCTCAGAGATCTGTGGGTCTGAATACAGTGAGCAAGCTCAAGCCGGTGGAAACTACCAGCAGTATGGAGTCCGCTCTTACTTACACCAGGTAATGCAGACACACGCCTGCAAACAGAAATTACTGTAAGGGTTTATTTTTCAAATGTTGCTGAAATCTGATGATTTTCTTGCAGTTTTATGAGGAGTGCACAGGATCTATCTGGGAGCGCGATGACGATTTTCAGATTCAGAGATCGCCAAGTTGGTGGAGCTCTTTACTCTGGAAGGTGAGCTCAGCCAATGCATTTCTCAAACAAATGAACTTCTAGTGACATACCGCACCGACAATTCTGGGTTGTCCTGAAAAATCTTTGGGTGGGAATGACTTCTCTGCCTCTTCACAGGTCTGTCTCGCATTTGGTAGCGTGATCTTATTTGCTGGCCTCATTGTTCTTTTGGTGGGATATGCAACACCAGCTAAGATTGAAGCATTTGGAGAAGATGATCTCTTCTTTGTTGACAGGTACAGTGAAAGGTCAAATATGAGATCTTAATGAGAGAAGTAACCTTCATTCTTGTATAACAGCCTTATCACAGACTTATTTATTGTAGTGTTATTAGCCATTACATGCATTCTGAAATAAATATCTGGTCTTTACCAAGCCTTCAACTTGGATACAGTACATACAACCCGATTTAAACAAACCCTGTTTATTCAACAAAGACTAATCCAAAATGAAGAGGATACATAATTCACAAGAGTCAGTTGCTTCTGAAACAACTTTTAGCAGAAAATTGCTTTATGGCATTGTTTTTGTTTGACATTATAAGTCTTTCACATTATTATGGAGAAATCAGCTCAGTGACTCTGAGGTTCTGCAGCCTGACCTGTTTATTTTTTTTCAAAACACTGATGTTACTACTTATAGTAATCTATAAAACACTGCTGCATTTTGGTTCGGTTTTCTCTCACTAGATCACTTTCCTTTGTTTGTCATGTTGCAATACTTAAAAACTTACAATCAAATGACTGACAGATCAATGCTTAAACTTCATGTTTTTTTTTTTTGTGAACAGCCATGCAGTCAGTTTCAATCATGCCCTGGATGCTTGTAAGTTGACGGGCGCGGTTCTATTCTGTGTGGGTGGCACCTCCATGGCCGTGGGTCTTCTGCTGTCTGCCTTTGCCAAAAGCTACTCCAAAGAGGAACTGTATCTGCAGCAGAAGTTTAAGGAGCATTTGGCAGACCTGCATGCAACAGTTGGTAAGGTGGCATCCTCACGCATCACTCTGCTAACCGACAACTACATGACCTGACTGTGAGTGTGATGCTGTGGATAAAAGCTCTGCTGATGGTAACCTATTATGTCACAGGAACCCCAACAATGAGAGCACCAACCCCTGGAGGGGGAAAGGTACCTGTAACTCTTTCAAAAGTGCAAAACATCCAGCCGGTGACCACAAAGCCAGAGCCCTAATTGTAGTCCAGAAGAAGAAGGCGTACAGCGGTTTGACTGAGGAGCAATCCATTTGCAGTGCGAATGCGTGCGTGTGTGTAAATCGATCTATGTAAGCTTTTTTCTTTGTGAAAGGTCAGTTTGCATGACTGATAGTATTGGTTCTTTGTCCTTATTTATCTCATATGACATTTAAGCTTGTTTTGAAGGAGTTAACATAGCTGAACACAGTTGTGTTGTCATCTCACACAGCAAGCATAGCCTTACCCTGTAAACTGGAGAACAAAGCACAGAAGCAAATACGAATGCTGCATCCATTCAACAGTGTTCGTTTCCTCTGGGTTCCCCTTCTGATAGTGGGATTAATTTCCTTTCAAAGTGGAAGGTAATGCTACTCTAGAGTGGGACACACACAGTGTTGTTTGAAGTTATCAAAGACATGATCAAAAGTAGCACTGAATACACTAATCACTTTCTCTGCCTCAAGGGAAAAGAAGGAGGATGAGTGTTTGAGAATGCCTACCTTGTATGTTTAGCTCAAGTGCTCATCCAAGGACTGGTCATGAGAGCTGTGAATTTAAAAAAAATGGCAGATGTAGCTTACAAATGCGCCCTCTTTGTGCATTTTCCTTGTGATAGCAACCCAGGAGTCAGATAGTCTGCTAAAAGTTGACAGCGTCAGGTCAGGTCAGAACATCGGAACAGAGCCTCATGCCAGATTTCACGCTGACATTTTCTTCTGTCTTATTTGGCCACTGGCCTTGTATCTGTCAGTAAACATTCAGACAAAATCAATAGATGAGACTAGACACAAGAGCAGAAGGTACGTTCAAGCAGATAGAACATGCAGAACCACATAGTGTGGGAGATTATTTTCAAAACATGACACATAAGCAATTTGCTATTCCACTGGCAGAATCTATGAATATAACTCGATTTTGTTACACTTATTCACCACACTCCCCCTCTTTTGTCTCTTTCTCTCTGTGCAAACATGTAGATATACATGCATTCACGCAAGCGTGCACATTTTGCACCATTCTTTATTCAAACGTTGTCACAGTTTGGTGCTACTTGTGAAAAGTGACACAGGCTGCACTAAAAAGAGACAAAACAACATGACAGGCAGGTTACATAACAGATGGATTTGGCAAGCATTCAGCTCTCCATTGAACAGCAGCATCTGATTTGGTCTGAAACATTCTTAAAGACTCCCCGATCTCACACTGGAACTAGAAGTTACATAGTTGCACTCATCTTAACACAATAATGCATTACACAATTGAAATAATGACTTATATCATCATGAAAGCATCAATGAAAGTATTTGCTTGTGTATAGTTTTTAAGGCCACTTTTATTTATTTATATTCTATTCAGGTTCAATCTTACCATAACATAAACTAACAAGCACAATAAGCTATTGACGGTCATATTTTGCTGTTTTTAAATATGCTGTCTGAATATATCATGAAAAAAATTCTGTAACAAATTGATATCCATTGTGTATTATTCATGTTTCTTTTTGTTTTCTCTATATTATCTGTTGCAGTAATTGTATAGAAAAATGGCATAGCCTACAAAGATAAACAAAATTATTTGTACTGTACTTGGTTAGAGCCATGTTAGAATATAAGTAAAAGGTTTATCCAAACTGGCTCATAATCAGATCAATGCAGCAACTCTGCAAAATAGTTAAGAGTTTAAAAAATGACACATTTCTTTTCTGGCTACATACTGTGTGCTTGTGTGAGTTGACCTTTGAGTAGTCCTTCTTTCTACCTTCATTCTTCTGTTTTTCTTCTTATCACTCAGTGAGACTGAAACTTTTTTTTTTCAAATGTAAAACAAAAACATAACTAAAACCATAAGATTTTATGAAACAATAAATGAGACATGGCCAAGGCCATGACAAACCCTCCAGTCTGGTCAGAACTTCAGTATGTGATCAGTGAATGTGTTGTAATTATGAGCTATTCCATGCTTACATTACAGTTTCATTGTCACAACTGACTTTTTTTTCTGCTCTGAATCTTTTTGTTGGAATCTAATTCTGATTTTCACGCCATTTCTGTCCTGAAAACAGCGGATTATCCCAATTAATATTATATTGCTGTACTTAATGTAAATTGGATCATGAATAAATATGTAGGTGTCCATAACAGCGTGTTTATTTTTTAAAGAACACAATAAAGATTATGTCTTCAGCTCATTAATGTGTCAAAATTGTGTCAACATTTTTCAAAATGTAATTAAATCTGTTCAGAATTTTTTTTATGTAAGAGGAATATAGACGTGAAGACATCTCAGGTATATTTACAGAGAGAAAAGTCACTCTTATGCTATCTGGTTCAGTTTAGTTAAATTTGAATTTATATCCATGAGACAGAATTATTTCCAGTTAAGTTTAATGTAAAATTATATTTTGCAACAGTGGAAAAGAGTGTCCTTTAATGGATGTGATGTGAGAAGTGCAATGCAGGGACAGAAACTATGATGATAGACAGCACCCAAAATGTTAATTTCAAATTAATATTAAGAGAGAACAGTCACATGTTTCTCATATCTTTATGGGTGATTTCACAACACGCTACTGTGGGATAACTAAGATATGGGAGCCGACCTTAAATACCGTACAAACTCTATCAGGGTCCTTTTCACAAGCCTCACATGAGGATTCTGCCTGTCTATTTAAAACCTAAACCAGGATAAAAGCAAGCTTGCAGTCAGAGAGTGAGGTTATCCTTTGGGAGAGAATAAAAGTCTGAGATCTTTGCAATAAAATGGAGCTGAGATTTAAAGGTTTTCAATAATAGAAAATAAGCGAAATTATGGAGCCAGTGATGACAGGAAGAAATTGGAGAAAGGTAATCTATTTTGCTATAGTGCTACCCATAGATGTAAGTTTAAATCGATTTAATATCAACTCCACAATTCTTTAACTAAATTATAACCGAAGATGACTTCTGTTTTTTCCCCATGATAAGATTGAATAGATTAATGAATTAAAGGGGAGACTCCCCACATTTAGTGATGTTCCACCAGCTTTAATTATATTTTTAAGAATTGTAATCAGTCAGGGGAGAGCACTATTCAGACACATATTAACACACCCACACACACACACACGGCTGGTGGAAACGATAAGACTGAATTGATAGTGTCTCCAGAAATAGTATCTTGAGCACCATCACCTCAACCAGTCAGGCCTCATGACTCACACTTGCCCCCACCCCCAACACCTCCTTTGCTGTTCTCTGCATCCCTTGCTCTTCATTTTCTTCTTCTCCCTCTGCCTCCCTTTCACCCGTGTTTTCCACGTCTCATGGGATGGTGACTCACAGAGACTGACTGCATAAATCTCAATTTGAACAGCTGCAGGGATGAGGGGGCAGAGAGGCTATCATGGACACCAAATTAGATCACAGTTTGCATTATAGTTTTCCGCCTGTGGGAAGGAGTTTATTGTGGTTTTATGCAGCAGTGTTGTTGGGGTGAAACAATGAAATAAAATCCTGAATAAAGGAGAAACAATTGTTTATGCTAGTGTCTATTTTTTCCATATCAAAACACGGCCCAAGATTAGTCTCAGCTTTGAAGAATTGGATATAAAATATAAAAAACTGGTGCCATTTATATATCTGTTTCATAAACCCTGCCATCCGCAGGAAGTGATTTCTTGTTGTCACATTTTTGTTTAACTGCTAGCAGGATTCAATTAATCAAATTAGCGAAAAGGGAATGAAACTGCGTTAGTTTTAGACACCCAGCAAGGTCAGTTCTTAAAAAAGCGACTTTTGGTAAATCTTTTGGTAAGTCCTTGCAAAATAAATTTTAAGTAAATACGTTTTGCTCGCCTTTATGCAGTTCTCTTTTGATATTTATGCCAAGTGTTTCTTGTTAATTTTTATGTCAAGGAAATTTGACAGGGATTACATACCATTCAGTATGTAACTGGGACTATTTTAGGTCTGTGACAGTGTTGAGTCAAGAGAGCAATACAGAATGTCAAGGAGTCTAGGATGTGTAAACAGTGCAAATACAGATACAAGTCTGAGAGCATCAGTGGGAAGCAAGCCCAATACCTGACGAACCTTCTCACAAAGAATCCCTATCCAAGGTCTTGCTTTAAAACACTCCAGCACACCTTCAGATGTTCTTTGACTACAGCTTGACTGGCCAGAGTCTTTTTGGTGGGATGAAAAGACGACACTTCTCCAAATGTACTTTGGCTAATTCTGGTAAAAACATTCTATTTGACTTCTATCTTACCATACTGGTTCTACAAAATGCATCAATCTTGTTTAAATATTTATTTCAAATGTTACCAAAACTAAAAGTTAAGATGAACACGAAGGAACCCCCCCGCCCCAATTAATGAAATCAATGACACACCTGTAAATAGATTATAGTTTATTCTAAATAAACAGAAAGGCTTTTCACATAGTGACTACATGTTGAAGGCCTTTAACGCATAAGACTTCCACATTGTTTTCATTGTGTAATATAGCTTAGCATCCAAACTGATACAATATTATATTTGCTTATTATGCCTGCTTACAAAGTTCATGTGCACCTTTTAGCTTTGGACAACAACTCAACATGCGATACAAAACTATCTTAGTATTTAAAACCTTTTTAATTCCATTTATAATTAAATGGAGCTTTATATATATTTCTCAGCTCTGCGCATGGAAGAGTTCATAGACAGCATTTACTGAGACATTAAAGCGGCTTAAGAGGTAGCAAAGTGCCTTAATGCAAAAATAAGGATATATTACTATAACATTTTTTTTACATTATTAATATTAGGGATTTTACTTAATATCCTTTATATACCAGCAATCTTAAGATCACAGACCGTCTAGTCAACTTTTAAAAACTATTTTTCTCTCTTAAAACTACTTTTCCTTTACATGTAACATCCAAGATTTTCTGCCTAAAGTCATTTCCTGCTTGTGAAATTAATTTTCAATTGTACTGTTTGATATTCAGACAATTGCTCAAGAAGTAAGTTGGATATTTTCTATTCTTTCCTCATCATTCTCTTTTCTGCTGTTCTGCTTATCCCCACTGTCTCCGTTAACGGTGACGGTGGCTGAACTTTCCTCTCCTTTTAGCTCATGATCCCCTCTACTCGTCTCTCCATTTAACATGGTCTTTTCTTCTCCTTGTCTTGACTGTCCAGTACCTCCCTGTTTTGATTCTTTTTCATTTTTCCCCCTTGACTCCGTAGCATCTTCCTCTTTTGATTCTTTCCCATCTTTTCCTCCTGACTCTATGGCATCTTCCTCTTTTGATTCTTTCCCATCTTTTTCTCCTGGCTCTTTGGTGGCTTCCTCTTTTGATTCTTTCCTGTCTTCCTCTTGGTTACTGTTGCTAATTCTGTGTTCACCATTTTCTGTTTCATTTGTCTCATTATTTGACTGAGTCTTGTCTGAGTCACTGCACTTTTTTGTCTCCTCCTGTTCTTTCCCTGTGTCCACATTATTACCCTGCTCCTCTCTGCTACCACTGTCTTCCTCTTGGTTACTGTTGCCATTGCTGCTGATACCATCTTCGCTTACTTTCTTGTCATTATTTGACTCAGTCTTGTCTGGATCGTTACTTTTTTCTGTCAATTTCTGCTCCTTCCCTGCATCCATGTCATTATTGTGGTCATTAGTATTATCCTCTCTACTACTACTGTCTTCCCCTTGCTTGGCTTCGCTGTTGTTTTGCTCATTTTCAATCTTTCTGGATGCATGGCTTCCATCCTCTTTCTCTTCATTCTCCTGTGTCCTATCGCTGTGAGCACTGCCAGGCTGCTCCTCACTCTCACCCTCCTTGCTCCCATCTGTGACTCCCAACGTCTCTTCTCCTTTAACTTCCTCCACCTTCTCCTCATCTACTGATATTGCTCCTTTTTCACCATCTAGCTCATCGACTTTCTTATTTTCTTCTACCACTTTTTCACTTTTAGTTCCTGTGCTTTCCTCGTTGTCTTCTTTGCTTGTGGATGCATCGTCTGTGGCGTTTTCAGAAGCAGATTCTTCCTTCTCTGCAGCTTTTTCACTTTTGTCCTCATTGGCGTTTAGATCAGCATCAGGTCCCTGAAATACAGTCATACCAGAGAGACCTTTTTCGGATCAACATATTCTAACAGAGTTGATGATTAAATTGCTTCCAGTAGGAATCTCTATAACTGCCCATCCGAAACTGTGATGTTGATCAAATTGACACTTTATCAGTTACATCTTTTTCAACACTTATGGAGCACAACAATTTAAATGTCACTGTTAATAAAGGCATGTTTGAGCCTCTTAATGAATCAACTGTACATTAGGCATTTACTAATTTGACCCATTGGAACCCAGTAACTCAGGTAAAACAAACAATTTAAAGTCAAATCAATTTGAATGAAAAAATGCTAAAATCGTTTTTTTTATTTTTTTTATTGTGATCTGTGGGGCCCTTCTGGTCAGCTTTCTCTAAAAAATGTTTTGTCTGTGTACAAAAAGGTCTGGTTTCTTATAGGTTATTTTGGCAAATACATGGTTGTCACTAAATGACTCTGAACTCTGAAGAGTTTAGATTTTTCACAAGTCACCATTTTAGTTTAGAAAGAATTGATTAACTAGAATTTAAAATACAGATGGAAGATAATCAAAACAGAGAGGTACTCTTCTGTTTTCTCACAAAGGAGAATGTTGTCCTTGCGACAAACTATTGAGCACAAAACATATTCACATTCATACCTCTTCAACTTTAAGGTCTTTTTCTTGTGTCGTTCCTGTGTTTCCTTCATCAGCCTTCGATTCTGGATCATCTGGACATAGAAAGTAAGACAAATGAACATCTGGGGCTTAGTTTTGAGAATGATTGATGTTTTTTTAAGTACATTTTTTAAGCCAGTGTTATGAGCTACAAATATGGAGTGTCCTTATCTAAAATGTGGAAATGTGATCTATTTCACAAAAGTGCTGCAGTAGACATCAACTGCCAGGAAAACATTGGATACAATTCAAAAACATGCTAAATACTGTCTGTTAATGCGATTCAGTTTAGATCAACTATAAATAAATGTATTCACCAGTATAACAAATAATTGTGTCTTTTTTATGTGTTGCATTGAAATTGGGGAGACAAAAATCTGACAATGTGAAATTTATAGACAACAGAGGTACATTTTCATGGGGTCAATAACTACTCGGGTTCAACTACAGAGTAAACACAGATAACACCTTTGCACTGTTTCTAATGGAAAATGCCCTCTCATTCCTTAATATCTCTGACTGAATACATTATACTTACTTGGATGGTTTTACAGTTTAAAACTTCCTTTGCCCGCTTTTGAATAAAAAAAAGCAGGCAAAAGAAAAGTCCTGAAAACGAATCAAGTCACTTAACTGCTTAATTCTAAGAAATAAGGCTGCTTTTGTTCAACATCCAGGGAGACTTGTTGAAATGCTGCACAATGCACAAACACAGCACATGACTGACACCTTGTGGTGCACAGAAAAAGCTATTCCACGCATCAACTTCCTCTGGGCAATTCAGCTGGTGAAGACATTTAGCATTTCTCAACATTTTAGGGACCCAAACATCCCATTTGATAAATAGAAGTAACTTTGTCTTCATCCCTGCAGATGTGACCCTCAACAGGGGCATTAAATGAAGGTTGTAGGTGTTGAATAATCCCAGTTAGATATCAGAGCACACCTTAACAAACAAAAGTCAAGATTCAACCCAAATGTTTCATTATTATTCTCTTGACTGAATAAATCCCTCAAATTGTAGCAATTTTAAACAAAAAAAGAGAGACTGGAAATCATTTTTTCTCTTTCCTTGTTTCAAGAAAATTCCTAATTAAAATCCCACCCTCTCTGGAAACCTTAAAGTGACACCGTGAGTCCTGATATTTAAATGAGGGTGTCATAGTACAGCTCAATGCACGCTGATTTTCTATTGAAGCTGTCAGCTTAGAAAGGCAGGTTTGTTGGAGTGCAAAATGAATATAGGGGCTTCTCAGTCTGCATGTGAACATGAGCATCAAAGGCTTTGGAGTAATTAACCCTAAACATCATAAGAGGAATACAACTACACGCTCTGATAAACAGCATAATTACACACTTGTTTAGAAACACTGGATGTGACTGAGCTTTCCAATCAGAAATAAGCACAAAAATACTATGAAAAAAGCGTAATAATTAATGTCTTTAATGTTACTTTCCCTTTCTACACATTCTAGTTAAGGAAGAAAAATGACTCGGGTAGAGATTAGAAGAGTTTATGGAGACATTTAATGCATTTCAAATGCAAAACTGATTGAAGTTTAGCCATGGTGGGAGATGAAACGTTATGGTAATAATAGCGGACCTCTTTAAGAATATTTTATGGAAATCACCCGCATTCATTAAGAGCAAGGGCCGAACGACTGGGAGCGAGCAGTAAGCAGCAAAGGGCTCCTATGACTCTAAGCATCCTAACACGATTTTAGGATGAGGCACTGGCTCATGAAAATGCTAAATCAAATTAAACACAATGTTTAGAATATCTGCTTCTTGCTCTTGATTAAATCCAGTGCAGATGAGTTCTGGCGCCGCAAATGATTGGACCGCTGGAAGTATGAGTACGCAAATAAGTACATGTGTCGTTTTTCAAGATTTTGGAGGAAATAAAACGTATGTACAACTGATGGGGAAAAAAATCATAAAACACACACGGCTACAGCTACATCTCATCTATCAGCATGTGTTATAACAAGGATGCAGCTGTAAGTGGGTGTAATTACTCATATAAATGGCTCTTGCTGCCATCGTCCTGGAAGGTAAAGTTATAAATGATTGTTGTTCTACAGAAATGTAATAAAGCACAACTGAAGATGAAGTGGAAGCTTAGAAAGATAATATTCAACTCTTCAACAAGCAAATTCCATCCTCGTACGCATAAACACTCATGTTGGGACTTAATACTGTTTGAGCTCTGCTCAGATCAGCCTTGAACCTACATACCAGCCGACAGCGTGCCACATAGCGAGTTTCTGTTTAATTTATTTTTCTGAAATGTAATCGCTGCTCGGTATAGGAAAACAGTTTTTTTCTGTTGCAGCCTTTTTGTGCCTACTAACATTGCTATGAGTTTAAACTTAGTTTGCAAAGTTAAGTATGAAGTTTTCCCCACAGTTATAGAAAGATAAAATGTAATACCATCTTTGAAAGCTTTTAAACATCTGTACCTTTTTTCTTTCTTTGTAAAAAGTCTTTAATTGCAGTTATCTTGACTCCGCAGGACCTCTATGATAAAATGGGGCACCAAAAAAAAAATGTTTCTTTTGTAAATAAACTTGTAGAGTACCTCTGTGAATACACCATTTTTTGTGTTATGACAATCATTTACTCTAGTTTCTATGTAAGGTTGTGTCATTTTCAACAAAAGACAAAAAGAACAAGCTTTTCAACTAAACTTGCGTATCTTAGAAGTGATTGTTCTTCTCAACAATGTTACAAATACATTTTTTGATAAAGAAAAAAAACTGCTGAAAAAAACATTAAGGCAAGGAATCACTCTAATCCACTTCTGATTAGTTTTATTCTCCCAATGTTTTCTTGGAAAGCAAAGACATGCAAGTCAGCTTGAATTGATCACTCATTGCCGATTAGAATCACATTTGTTAGCATCCTTTCTCTTTCTGATAGTCATCAAGAGACACACAGGCTTTATAATCCCTGACAGGCTGACATCTGCCCTACGGGAACTCTGCTCACATGTGTGCAGTTCTGCATACTTTAAATGTTATGCTCTATGAAAAAGCTGGGCTTTATTATTCTATAGTAATAGATATTGCTTTACATTGTGTGATTTGCGCATGAACCAAAGCAATTAAAAAACAAAGCAAATGCAAAAAAGAAAAAAATGAATAGTTGACACAACTTCTACTTTCAGTGAATTAACAATGTTTTTTTTAAATGCCACTCAATGTACCTCATTAGTCCATTTAACACTCCACACTTTAGACCTTCTTTATATCATACAGCGCAGTCTATATTGCATATTTATAACTAGTGCATTCAATCCACTCAGCACATGCCTGAGTTATAGTGGGGTGTAAAACAACATAGGCAGTAACTCTGAATACTAATTATGAAACATTGCCACTCAGCAAGTGTGCTCCACCCACGGATCAGGGTCTTGTAAAAACATTTAATGACTCTGCTGCCAGCTATCATAAGAGAGTTCCAGTTGGTGTAGCGTTTATGGTGATGTGATACACACACGCAAAAAATACATAAATCAGTAAATAGAAATAAACAATCCAGATGTTTAGTATTAAATGTAAAAACAAGATGACTGGACACTTTTCTCATTGTCTCTTGCTAATGCTAAGACACTCAAGCTCACATAACAAAAGATACCAAGTCAGTCATAGGATTTGGGATTAAGATGATGATAAAACCCCCTGTTTACTTGTCACATATATAGACAGGCATACAAACTTCTGTGTATGACATGGTTAAATAGTTTACTCTGAGTGGTTGGGACATTGTTCAGGGTGTACTTTGCCTCTCGCCCATTGACTACTGGGACAGGCTCCAGTCTCCCCACGACACCATTAGGGAATAAGCGGTTACGGAATTGAATGGATGGTTGGGACATCTCCAGTCTAAGGTTCATTAAATACAGTATTGTTGTACAATTTACCTTCATCAAGTTTGTTAAACATTTATCAATATTTTTTTTGCAGCCTGCCACTGAATAGATAAGTACTGTGCACTTTCTCTTTTGAAGACCTTTTCAACTATGTAGAGAATTCTACTATCTACCATAGTGTGCAGTACTGCGCTTAGATAGCTTTGACATTAAATCAAACGAAAGCGCTGCTTAACAATGTTGCAGGCAGACAGGCAGAGTAATATTTATAAAGGTCATGGCTTCAGCTCAGATTTTAAATAATTCATGGAGCTTGTTTTCTCTCTATTTTCACAGTTGCCTAAAACCTTACATCACATTATCTTCATTATATGAGGCCGCCAATCTGTATGGACTCAGTCTAATCCTTTTAATATGAATACAAATCACATAGATGTGTTTAGTTCTCGAATAGGCAGTGCAAAAGAACACATACAAAAAAACACATTTTTAAATTCTGTTCATGTAGAAATGTTCTAAGTCAGATTCAAAACACTGAGTAGATAGTTAATGAAAAAAGTCCTGAAGCGGATTTCAGTTTTCATCTGATTTTCACACTGTAAAGGGTACGTTGTTTCAACAAAAACTTTTCTAACTACAGAATTCATGTTTGGTAATGTATGCGTATAAGTGAAAAAACAAAATGCTCTTTGCTCTGACATCATGGCAGTTTCAGATGTTCTCCAAAGACATGATGTAAAGCTCAGATATCCACAAATGTCTCTTATTTACTCTTGCCATTTAGGCTGCATGTCAGAGTGGTTTCAGTGTTTGAGGCTGATATAAACCCTGCAGATGCTGATGCTCCTATCGCAGCTGCTCAGACGCGCGTCTCCGCAGCTCAACCGAGACATGCAACGCGTACTAGATTAGAGGTGACAGACATGAAGCAAAATCGTGTCGTTGAAAGTGTCACATATTACCCTATCCCTGCACTTTGTATGTCACAGCCAGTGCTGTTGTATGTCACAGCTAAAACACTTGTTAGCAGATTAATGTAGCAGATTAATACAGCAACCCTGCTCTTTAATCCAATAATCCTACATCAAAGAGTCATGAAGAACCTTTTCTGTGCTGTAGTGAAAAAGAAGAGATGAAAGAAATGGAAGAATGCATGTGGGGTAGATGAGCACAGCCATGTTTTTAAAAATGTGACATATGAGCTTGTGTACCAATTCACATTAAAACTGCTTGCATACACATAGATATGTAAAATGTAGTACCTGCAAACCATTCTTTCTTTAAATTTCCTTTTAAAAGCATCTCCTTTCTCTGTTGCCATCTTTCTACCTTCGCTGATTAATCTTTTTTTATCTTCTTCTTTTTACATGGGTACACAATTTAAAAAGCACAACCTCATATATATGTGCCTACTGTCTCCTTATGTTGTTTTGAAGCACGTTTCACTCTGACAGTCACCATAGATACATATGCTAACAGGGCTAATTCCCCAAGGCAGAATCCCATTTTATGTCACCAGAGGAAAATGCTTGATGTGACTGAATAGCTTATGTACACAGAAAGCACCGGAACAGACACAAACAAAAGCCAACTCACACTCAGAAGTCTAACATTTTCTCTCATTCAACCTGCAATAATACGAAGAATGTTTTAATTCTGAATTTTATTTCTCAAACTGACTTCAAATGTCTTTTCAAGGAAACTCGTGGGAGGGAGAAATAATGTGCTTCCTTCATGAAACCTAAGTTCAATTTCCACACTCATAGATGAAGCCCGGCTCGTGAAAAGAAGGGAAAAGGCTATTCAGAGATGGAGGTTTTGTGTAAACTGAACGCCCTTGAGGTTTCAGTGCAAGCACTAATTGAGCTACACAGGTTATTTCGAAATCACCATCCTCTATGTGTTTAACAAAAGGCATGGTCAATCTCATACAGTGAGACTACACAAAAGTGTTCAGAGCTGTTCCACAGATTCTCATCTGCACGTCGTAACACAAGAATCAGACCATAGGCTTCCTATGAAGAATTTACTGTAAAGTGGTGCAATGTCCATGCTTTAAGAATCAATTGCTGTCTTCATATGACTTGCAGAGATTTGAATTGTTCTCAAAAGGTCTCAATCATCAAATGAGAAACATTGCTTTGTTTTTTTTTTACTCATTCTTCTCTGGGGCAAAATGTTTGCGGCTCTGCTCTTGAAGTTAGGACCGCATTTTATTGCAAAATTGTATTTGAGTTCCTAATAAAAACTAAACAAAAATAGTCTAGCCTTGTCTGTTTGTAATTAGTGTGCTCTATCACTGATGTATGCTACAGGGGAAAGAACAAGAAAAACTGATTGTCAGCAGACTACCAGCCCTTCCTCAATCGTTGCCTTTCTGTCTCTGCTCTTGTACATACCTGTCTGTCAGTCCTTCCCTTTTCAAGCACAGGGCTCTTTTGTTGATTTTCCAAGCAGTAATTTGGCCCCAGCAAGGGGCACATGCAAGTAAAAATTCTGCTTTGATGACTCTAAATGGAGAGATTATCCAAATGAAAGGCAATTATGTAAACCCCACCCATCACCTCTACCCTTCAACATCTCTCACCCGTTTTTTCCTTCTTCTCCACTCAGGGCTCACACTCTATCAGCTTAGGCCATTCATCATATTCACTATTCAGTTCGACTGATTCCTTCTGTCTCTCCCGTCTTCTTCCTCATAAGGCTCTTTTACTCAGCCTCCATCATGTCAACCTTTTATTCCCTCTACTTTAACCATGTCTTTTATCTTTCCCTCATCACCTGTTCAAATGCATCCTTTTCTTTTTTCTCCTCTTGCTTCTCCCCTCTCAAATTCCGACTGTTTTTCCTCTCAAGGGAGCCATTACATGAATTGGTCACAGAGGCCCTTTAAGGGAGAGAACATTGATAAACATCCTATTTCTATTTTGAGGTTAGCAACAACTGCTAATTAGCACCACACAAACTGAACATTAAAGTGTTTTTCAATAGCAAACACTGACTGGCCAAATTTTGGGAAAGATTTGCTCTACTCAGAGAGGGTTGCTGTAACTACGTTGGCTGTAGCAGAACACAGCCAACGTGTCTTGCTGGTTAAGTCTTTTAAGCCAGATGTCTTTGTTATATCAAGTTCAAATTCATCTCATGACCTTTGCTGCATGAGTTGTCTCATCCCCTCCCTCGTGTCCTCGCTGCCGCTCACCACTGTGTTCAGTCTAATGAAGCAGAAAAGTTAGGAGCTTCAGGACACACCAGACTGAAGCTGCCAGAGTTATGCTCAGTCCTGCTTCCAGCAGCTGATAGACAGTGAATAATGAGAACCGCTAGAAAAGCACCCCCTCCCTTCCACGATGAAACTAAAAGAATCTCAAGTTACAGAGTCAAGTATCTCGTTTTATTCCTATTTTTTGGATTAACTATCATTCGCTCTCACTCACTCCACCCCAAAAAATACATAAATAATGACAGGACACCTTTCTAATAACCCTTTGTCTGTGTTCCAGTGTTCCTCATCAGAGATTTGAAGTGTGTCTTTCATGCTGTGTTCTTTCCACAGCCGCTGCCAGTCTGCAACTTTTTGGCTCGGTTCCTCCTGGCACCAGAACTGAATATGTTTACCTCATACCCCAGCCAGGGCAGGATTTCTCAAAGAGAAATTAACACCGAAACACACCTCTGCAATGTTGTGAATCACCATGTTAAAGTCATATAAACACGCCGTTTCCCCTGAGGGGGCTAAATACCAGCAAACACCTAAACTTAGCAGCTTTGGAAAGGCTAATGGATATATACAAAATTAGAATTTTTGTAAGCCAGTGGGAAAGTGTAACAGAGGTAAAAGTTAAAAATAACATGGAAGCATTTTTTTTACTTTCAGAGAGGCAATAAACTAAATGGCAGAAAGGCTTTTAAGAGAAGAGAGTCAGCACCATGGACAGAGACAGACTAACTGATGCAATGAAATGCATTGCACTCAAAATAAACAAACAAAAAGGAATAACATAAGGAAACTATCACATCTTGTTAACATGGTATTGTTTGGAAGAGTTTTTAAAGGTCAAACTGTGTGTGTGTGTGAGGGGGGGGGCGGTCTCAAAGGCAGTGAAACAATCCTGTCACATATGCCTGATCTTGTTTTTTGAGCTGACCGTCTGTTAACTCAATTTTTGCTCAATGTCACCCAATGTGACCAATAATGCCGGGCGGTTTTCTGTGCCTGGAATATGACATGCCGAAAAATTAGATACAGAGGATTTTCAGGGTGGTACGACAGACACGAGTGCGCACACAGGGCTAAACACACACACACAACCACACACATGCTCCTAAGTCCCCTCTTTTGATGCAAAATGCCAGCTCCCCTGAACCACAGACACAATTCTCCACGCTCCTCTGAGCTTCTGCTGTAAACTCCCCTCCCTGATAAGGAGAGAAGCAACATCTATCCTACCACTAGATGACGTCATGTGGGTCGAACAGCGGAAAGAGTTACAGTACGGTAACCAGGTTTGTGGTCATATGAAACACAGTCCTTACAGAATATAATTCGTGCATGTTCATTGTCAGAACATATCAACTGAAAACAGCTGTTGTGTTACATAGTTACTAAAGCTCACTGTGCGGAAAAGAGCCCGTACCCACAAAGCACAAACGACTAACAGTTTCTGGAGGACATTTAAGACTAATAAAAGTATCACAAGCCCAAAGGATGATGTAATGTGTTTCTTGTAATAATGCTCAATGTCATCATGCTAGACCTACTTTATGTGGTTCAGGCTTCACGTTTTGCAGAGCAACAGTGCCACTGTGTGGGCATTTAACCGTGCTGCAGGTTACATAAGGTGCCTACCGGCCTACATGACATCATTTGCTGAACACTTGTCTTCACAGTATAAAGCTGAGGTGGTTATTCTTTGTGGGAGAGGACAGTTAGGCAAAACAGACATGACAAGACTGAGGGTCTAATAAAGCATGATATTGTGACAGCTGTGTTGTTCTCATGTCTGTTAAAATGTATATCGGGCATGAATTACACAAGAAGGAAAAACAGGCACACATACTACACTCCTCTTGCTGTCAAAACATACGGTGACAAATATGTAGACTAAAAGCTGTTCATCAAAAAGGTTAAAGGGCTGTTGTTGCTGTTTCTACAATCATTTGTTATTCTATTTTTTTGTCGTTTCCAAAGTTTTGCTTTTTTAATTACTACCGTAATCAAGGTCATTCGAATTTCTAAAATCAAAGCCAAGAAATGTACATATATATATATTGGACTTCACAAGTTTTGAGTAAAAATCAGCCTCAGATAGTGGTGACCATGGTAACCCATGGTAACCATTGGCCACTACCAGCCCTTTTCTCTGTTAAATAGCAAAATGACAAAACATTTTGACTGCTGTAACACATCCTATGTCAGCGGTCAGTTATTAAAAAACATTATGTCCCGTGAAGCAGTAAAATACTCATTGTTAAAGTTTCTGCTGATGATATTCCAAAATGATAACTATCAGGAATTACAATTTAATTCACATGGAATGCTTTGAAATGTTTGACTCAAGTAATTACAAGACTATGATAATAAGGAATTATCTATAATAATAATACTATGAACCGGGATCCTGCTGAAATGCACAGTTTCTGCGAAAATCTGTCTAAGAGAGTATTATAAATGTATTTGCTATTAAGACTGACTGATTTGCTTGCTCTGTGTTCGCGTTACCACTGTCAGATGTGCCCATAGTGAAGCTCTGTCCACTCTTCCTCTTCCTGTAGGACAGGAGTCTGGCCTTGGAGATTTCTCTGACGATCGATGACAAGTTTTCTTTGCTGCTTCCATTGTGGTTTAGAGAAGAGGCTTTAGACTCTCCATCTCCACTCTCACTGCGCTGAGCCATGGATTTGTTCTGTGGGAAGTGGAAGGTCAAATTAAGTCATTGAAAACTTAGAATTACACAGACGAGGACTAAACGTATGTCCAGTACAATAACAGAATATAAAAAGTTAAAGTACCTCCTGTAAACATTACATCTCTGCGTATGAAAATGGAAAACAAATCTTAGATTTTGACTCAACATTTATACTTTGACCTAACTTAAAAACCAAACATTTTAAGCTTTGGGGGGCTCACATTCAAAATAAAACACATTTAGTATGCAAAACCTAATGCTCCCCTGTTTGATTTGCATTCTGAATTTCTGCACTCTAATTGTAGGTTTACAAAAAAATCAACTTTAACAACACCAAAATGTTCTTCAGGTTCTTACATCTCCACTTTGTTTGGAGAATCTGTAGATGGGCGGTAGAGAATGTGCTTTCATCCTGTGAACAGCAAGAAACACAAAAGATATTTCATGACTTGCATGTTCAATATCACAACACTGATCCATAAACATAGGTTAGAGTTAAACCACTGCACTCATGTGATTGATCACTGCCAAGTCTGAATTTTCAGTCAAGCTCTGACTCCAGTCACAGCCTGGGAAAGCAGCTGATTTTTTAATTTGCCAAGCTTACCCTCTGACCCTTCTTGTGCCTCTGGGCTTGGCGAAGAGAAGGTCACTGTATGGAAGCTTCTTGAATTTTTCTCTTCCCACTGCCACATATAGCTGGCCACCCTCAAGCTGATTTCCGTCAGTTACCTGCTGGCCTTCATATGTGTAGAGACTGCAGCACAGAGAGGGAAAAGAAGAAGAATAAAACTGAGTTTTTAACTGGCCTCACTAACACCAGGGCCATGATGCAAAAGCCCCCTTTTTGAAGTTATTTTTCCAAAGTTTTGTACGTGCACGATAATAAAACAAGAACATAAGGATGTATATAACATACAAAACAGAATAATTGATCTCGGAAATGCTGGGGACAGATACGTTGCATCTGTTCACCGGTTTACCTTCTCACACCTCCGAATACCCGCAAACCCATCTTCTCTGTGATCACTTCCAGTATTTTATCAAACTGTCCCAGCACCCTCTGGTGGATCAGCAGCCTCGCTGCAGTGTTCAAGAGATCACCGTTTGCCACCACGCTAAAAGAAACACACAGTTACAGAGAACACTGTTTTGATTTTGACCCAAAGGCAATCGATGTGTCAGGGATGTATGTCTGAAATTAGGTAAGCCTGTATTTAATTACAATATTGTGCATGGTTCCTTGATGGGTTTCAGGAATCTGGCTGAGGCGACGATTCTATTCTGTGGCAGCGGTTTGGCCTAAAAAAGAGAAATAAGCTAAGTTTAAAACATTAAAATACAAAAATTTACCCTCTAAGGCACTGTGTATATCTGGCATGGGTTATGAAGCTGAAAACTATCTCTAACAATAAGTTATTTCTGTGTTGTGATGCAGCTAAAAAGCTTGTTGTGAGATCAGTGTGCCCACATGAGGTTTGGAAGGACAGTTAGAGGCTTTTGGGACAAACTCAAGGGACTTTTGCTTTGGAGGCTAAAGCTAAATATGAGAACAACATTATCCAGTAGGGAGAACTTCAAGGTAATCTGTGATCCTAAATATAGCTGTGTATGCAGGACAGACAGCAGCATGGCTACTGGGCCATCTCAAGAGCCCAAACTGCTTTGAGAACCAGAGCCTATGGTGAGAAGAGTTGGTAACAACAACAGGGGTCACCCTGTTATAGTAGATAGTCTTGTAAGACATTTAAATCCATTCTACTTATGCTTTTTAGGAAAACATTGTAGAGAAACTGTGTTACATCAAAGGTTTAGAAAGGCAGCATATTTTCCACCCTTGCAGAATTTCTCTGATCTCTGTGACACCAATATAATGAGCTATGTGACCCTTTGAGATTATGAAGAGCCCTGCAGGTCCTAATCCCAAAACAAATATTACCCACGGTGAGATGAAGATAGGGAGGTTATCAAAAAACAAGTTAGTTTAAGGAGTTAGTAAAGACAAGAGTAGAGGTGTCCTGGCAGCAGAATTAGGAGGCAAAATTCAGAGTTGTAACAACAAATGGGAAGAAAATATTACAAACCCATCACCCATATATAAAAAATTATTTCAAACAGCATGTAAACACATTTTGAATCTTGATCACTTTTTAAAAATCACAACTCTAAATGAGACAAGGCATCGTTTTACATCACAATGCATTCTTGTCCGTGATAGCTTAAACGATACAAAATCTTTACATTTGCTGCTTGTTAACTGACGCAACAGCACAATAAGCCTTTTCAGCAAACAGTAAAACCGCAGAGACGTGCATAACCCACTTAGCTAGTAACCAGTGCGAGCCAGGAACAAACAGAAGCAAGCACAGCAGGCAGTGACACAGTGATCAGTGTCTGGGGAGCTATTAGACATACACATTTGTTTTTACATGGGCAGATATTTTTATATTTGAACAAAAGGTTCCCTCAGTTTGTTTTTCATTTCCCTTTAGATTCAGTGACAGAACAATACCATATCTTGTTCTTTCATTGAAGTTCATATCAATGTGAAAGCTCCTAGAGTTCCACATCCCATGCAGAACTAAATTCCTAAGTTATTCCTCCAATTCACAACTTTGTATTGAACAAGCAGGCAAAACATCACTGAGAATTTTAATTTAATATGTTTATTTTCAGTAAAAAAGAAAAACAAAGTGTTAAATATTTGCGAAATTCTTATTAAAGATACCACAACCCTAACCAGCATTAGACTTTCTATTAGTGAGCTACCGCTCAAATTCCTTGAAATCCAAGCAAATAAAAAAGTTGAAATAAATAAAAAAAAGAAGAAAACATTATTACCAAGGAAACACTGACACATAAGGTTACTGAAATAAAAATTCTGGGAAGAATAAGGAACCAGCTAGAGCTGTCATATAGCAGTGATTCAGTTCAAACTTAACTGAATGATTCTCTAAGTCAAGAAAGACTTCAAAATACTTTGCTGTAGGTGGTAAGAAAATATGATTGCCCATGTGAGTGATAACCCTGAAAAGACAAAAACGATCGGGAAGTTTCTAAGATTTGTTGCATTAGCCATAAGTGCATGTGTTTGTTTTTCCCTGAATAAGACTGAATAAAAAACAAACCAAGTCCACTTTGTGTTGAAAGATGACCTCCAGTTTCCAAACAAATCAGCCTGCAGGTGAGCTGACTTTAAGGAGCTCTGGCTTTGGCTGTGACTTCATAGCGGGTGATTAAAAATGCATTATAAGAAGGGATGATTATGATCCATAAATCAATAATGCATGGCCACTGAGACAACAACGTGTGTCTTAACTAGCAATACACTGCAGGAATGCCTAACATTACACCTTGGATCTTAATAAAATCTTTACACTGTTTTCTTAAGTCCTCATGCATCATGCATTAAGCAATGGGTTCATGTGTACAAAAGTTGGATGGAGATGTGACTGAAACCCAGCCTAAGAAAACGCATAGCAAGTTAAAACTTTGATCAAATTGCGACGAAAACATATATGTTTTTCCAGGCCTCAAAAGTGTGGTAATGCAACAGTTTAAGGTTCAAGATTTGTTAGGTGGTAATGTCTGGTAATTGGTAATTATTTGGTCTTATGAAACATATATCACTGCAATTCTCAAACGTGTATATTTATCTAATGGTAATTATGTTCTGCATCTCAAGTGAGCAAAAAAAAACAACAATTGAAAGGATTTTGTAAAAGGTTGCCACTCTTAATACTTTGGCATCTTTAAAGAGATGATGATGTTGAAGCTGTGGATGGAACATTTTAGAGGATTTTTTTCACTCCAGATTAATGTACAGTGGCTAATCTTGCTATCACATGTTGTGTTACGATATCCAATTGTTCATAAACCCGACATATGACACACTGCAAACACTGGTTTGATAATGTCTCACCGGCACTGGCAGAGTCTGCATCATCCTCTTCCTTCTGGTACCAATCTGCAGATAACTATTAAAATACCAAGCACAACAAATACCATATTGATCATATGAGGTCCACTAATGCATTTGTCATCTAAGCACTATTCATTTATTGTACTTAAAAGAAGACATAAATAATTCTGATTACAGCTTCTCACGTTGCATATATACCTTTTATTATTAATCAAAAAACTCAAACATGATCATTTTTGAAAAAGTCTTCTAAATCTCATTACTGGAGATATTACTGATTTCCCACAGAGTTCTTCTGGATTTCAAAGCAACTACTAGAGTTGCACAAATCTTTCCGGTGATGTTTATTTTAAAAGTGAGAGCAGCCTGAAAATATGCACTCTATCTACTCGATTGCTTCAGTGCTTCTCTCTATTAATATACAAGTGTTCAAATCCACTTATTTTTGGAAAAGTGCAGTGCATGCCTCTCAGCACAATTGATCTGGTTTGCATCACGGCGTGACTCAGCAGAGGTCCAAAACTGTTGAGTCAGGCAAACTTCAAGACAAAATGACTCAGTCAAAAGGTCTGATATCTGCAAGAACCTGAAACTTTTTGTATGGACGGACTGCAGCAGATTTTTAACGTAGTCCAGATGTTGTAAAAGGTTAAACCCACTCAGGTGTTTGACCCCAAAAAATAAGTGATCCCATGTCATTATAAAGAATGAGTTACAGTGTTATTTGCCCATTTTATCACTGTGAGAAGCAAAGTTCAGAATGGAAAAAAAGCAGTAGTTATTCTTACTCTAGCTTTTTGAACCTCTCCTTCCCAGCAGCGACATACTGCTCTCCACTCCGCAGGCTGTCCAGACAGTCCACCTTGTGGCCTCCTCTCGGGGTGTAGATGTTCCGCACCGCTCCAAACGGAGCCTGCACCCCGCCGGTCACCTCTCGTAGTAAAGTCTCGAAGTTGCACACCCTCTTTTCGTTTATCACTATTCGGCGAGCCTCGTAATACGGGTCGCCATTTCGAAACATGAAAACATTCTTGACCACCGGCTGCGAGAGAAAGTTGGGCTTGTCCGAAGTCATCGTTGTGCGTAAATGCGGCGTAACGCGCGGCTGATTGATTTTTTGTTACAATAAACGTAAAACAACCTGATCCCAGTAACAGTCTGAGTGCAAATAGATCTTCATCATTTCACACGGACTGGCCCATTCTTGCCAAATGTTTGCGGTTTCGATTGAAAATGGAGTGGGAGCAACTAAATGCGCAACGTAGATCTCCTTATCGTAAACGCCTGTTCAACGCTGCCCCGCAGGTTGCGCTAAAAGCCGGGTCTGAGCTGTTTCCTCCCCATCTAACCAGGGTGTCACGGGAGTTCATCTGTTGGGATGTATCTATGGGAACAGCTCTCTCGCCGATTACAAGGGAGCTCAAACTGTGAACCGTCAAGTGGTCAGCCATTAACCGATAAGCAAAAATAACATTTAACTACGGTCTCCACAGCGTGCACCCACTACACAAATAAGGATGAAGTTATCTGTGGTCAGATAAATAAACTCAAGTCTAAATCTGAAACTCCTCTCCTGCAGCCATTTAAGAGGTTAATTGGACACCAGGAGAGTGAGTGGAAAACAATTTATGGCCAAAAGTGGGACAAAATATATGTTTGTTCCTGAATTCTAACTGTGTTGTAGGCTACAGCAGAGATGGTTGAGACTAAATGGTGTCTGTTCACGTGACACTATCAAATGGAATATGAGGATTGATCAACTTTGATTAACTTTGGTTGTGGTGATGTTTTAGTTGTGACACAACCTAATGTGTATATCCCAGACTATACAGGCTGCTGTTGCGTATATCATATCATAAGTGCTTGACATATTTTGGCCTCCTTTGTCATCATTAGTATCAGTCAGCTCAGAAGATTTGCTCTGGTGGGCTGAAACAGGCTGGGATGACTACATAGACTAAGATTTATAAACCATAGGCACTAACATGATAACATCTTCATAAATACTTAATGACTTTTAAAAATTCTCTAAATGAGGTTCTAGCTATTCTTTTTGGAAGCCACCACATGGAACCAGAGTAAACCTATTGGTGTGCGTATTTGTACTTCTGCATTGTGGTGAGGTGGTTAGCACTTTGGCCTCGCAGTAAATGGGTTTGAATCCCCAAGTATTTTTCTCTGTGGAGCCCAGTTGTTGCTGCCATGAACTCCAGGCACTCCCCATGACCATGATTTGTATTAAGCGTATAAACACAGACATTGATCGTAAAGAATAAGTTGCTATTCCTCTGGACCAGATAACCAGGTGATGTTTAATGGACGTTACCTCTTTCAGAATTAGCTATTATTTATGTGATTGCTGTTCTTGAATTAACTGTTGCTATGGTTGTTAAATGACTTTATTCACTTGCCTAAAAACAGCTGAGATAACAAAAACAATATGCAGCGTAGACAATGTGGCTGATTATGAATCATCAGCTTAAATTTAATAAACGTGACAGCTGCGGTGGGAGCAGAGTGATGATGCTGTACATGGAGTGGTGTTTAGAGAGTTCTGCCAGTAGAGGGGAGTATAAACCAAATAACATTCCATACATTTTAAAAACCTGTAAGTATGCTGTAAATTCACTTCATAATTTTGCTTTAGTATAAGCAAAGACGTCACCCTAGTTACATAAATTTTTCAAATGCAAGACTTATTTATACAGACTCACTGGATGTCTGAAAAGGGCGATGGATATTCCATATTATTGTGAATATACATGCCCATCTAGGGTTTTCTGTGGGTGCATAAACCCACATATACATATTTCATTACACACTTATTATTTTGCTCAAAGTCTTGATGGGGTTCAGGTAAAAGTTTTAAAGGGGTTCCAGTAAATCCACTGGCTTATTGTTGATCATGTTAATCCTCCTTGACACAATGTCAAGACAAAGAAAAAAGAATACATGGCACCTCAAAATGGTAAAATTCCATTTTCTTTCCATCTCTCCTTGTGTATATCTTTTTAGTGTCAACATCAGTGGCAAGACATGAAATTATACATAATTGCTGTTGTTTATTGGATGTGATAATGGCACCTTTTAAAACCGTATCCTGGGATGGCCAAAATTGCCTTGCAATTGGCCCAAGCCTGACAGCATTTGGAAAATCCACACAACAAAACACACATCATTGTGTCCTACCACTGTCAACAAATTGAGACAAGGTCACATCAAAAGACATGCAGGTAGAGCCATATCAAGCAGCCCCTTCAATGTCAGAAAGAAAAATCTGTAAAATCAAAAGGTTTACAGGAGGCAATCGCTACGTTTTCGCCCTTTAGAACAACTTATATGGTTTTATCCAAAACTATGTGTGCAAAAAAATGAGTCATTCTATTATTTATTTGGCATATTCTGTGAGAGCTGTGGTGAATGCTACAGTCATTATTGTGTCTTTAATCCTTACAGACCGATTGTCTGTGAGGATGTTTGAAGGCTTTGTTACTGGAATGAAAACAGTTTTTTCTAGGTCATGCTGACAAAAATCTTTTAAAATCTCATTTGTTCCCATTAGTCATCATGTTTTTACTGCTCATGCACTCTCTGTCTTGGTTTAATACATCCCTTGTGTATGTGGAATATTTGTCTGGAGAATGATAGGCCCCTTGAGCCATAATTCAAACTTGGTCACACATATTCCGTCTCTTCTACATTTCACTAAAGTCCTAAAAAAGAGAAAATAAGAAAATGATACCTAGGCTATTGTAGAAAATGATACCCTAGGGTAGAGTGGAACGGATATGTTAATATTTGTTAGTACATTGTTTGCTTGGCTTGACTCTCTGGAAGGTTTGGGAGTAGATTTTTTACACCGGATAACCTTCCTGTCATATCCCATGCATTTATTTATCCACAGTGGGAACTGCAGAAGGCCTTTGTGAAAATGCCTTTTGAATGAAACGTATGTTCTTATATACATCCAGTGTTAGAAACAAAAACAGGGAAAAGTTCAGTTAAGAAAGTGAAAACACAGAAGTAGATTTTAAATTGATCAATTATACTTTATTTGACAGTACAAAACAAAATCATACAATCAGAAACACCACAAGGCACAGTACAGCAGCACAGGCATACAACTTGGGACAAAAAAACCCTTTAGTTTGTCACATGTACTAAGGAAAGAAGAGCAGTCATTGCTGACCAGTTAGGTGAGGTTTCTGATCAAACAAAAACAATTTGTTCAGAAAAAAGAAAAAAGGAAAAGAAAAATCAAATGTGTTTTTGTGTAATGATGTTTTCATCAACATATCCTTAAGGCTAATATACATGTTCTATAATGCTTGTTGGTCTGGTAATCAAATATCTTCTAGTACAATACAATACAAGTCCCTATACATTACATTTAGTTACACAGATATATAATTTCAATACTGATTTTTCTTTTTTACATTACACACTATTCATTTGCAGATTGATAAAAATTGGATTTTTAAAACAGTCTTGAAATACAGAATAGGATTGTGTAAACTGTGAAATTAAAGCTTTATGAAAAAAAATACGATGGTCATAGCTTTCAAAATAAACCCTGAAACATAAGGGGTGAAAGAATACATGAGTCCCTACAATGTTCCAACTGTCTACGGGTTATGAAAATTATCTGATTTTGAACAAGGAATATTTGGATTTGTCTGTTCTTTGGTAGATTAACTCGGAGATGGGGCGGGTGGTATTTTGCACAGAGCCCCACAGATAAATAACTTTTCAGAATATTAGATTTGATATGAAAATATAATAGTGTTTCTTGATATTTTAGAGTTCTCATAGTTATTTAGATGCAAATCTGCTTTCATTTAAGTTAGATGCTACTATACATCCCTAAACGAATAAAGTAGAATGAGAGTAAAGATTTGATTATCAAATTAATTAATGATTTAATAAAATTAAGAGGCTTTGCTCTGCTTATTATGTCACCATCTTAGTTTCTTGTTGCTCATAGGGAAAGTTAACCCAATTATTAGTGTTCATTTGTTTAAAGTACTACAATCAACTTTACCAATGAGTTCTCAACAACATAAAGAGGTAATTGATGTTTGTGGAGTTGCTTTACCTTTTTTTTTCAAATCAAGAAAAACAGCCCCAGATTTTGTTCCAGTCTAGCTCTATACCCACAATTTCTATGGAAAGGGATTATGAGCACAAAATACAACAGCAGCATTACTCTGTATATCCACATTCTCTGAACAATAACGTTTGATAGACTGACTGACACTTTTGGGCCTTTTGGAACTAGGAACATAATACAATGATTTACAATTCTTTCAAAAAATATTCTATTCACAGTAGATCATAGAATACATGTCAAATGCTGAATGTGAGGCATTCTCCTTATTTAAAAGAATTATATTGTAAAAAAAAATATTAGTTGAGATGAGATTTACAAAATCCTTGCATTCTGTTTTTAGTTACGTTTTAGGCAACATACTAACTGGTATTATATTATGAAGTATGTATGTGTTACTAAAAAATAATGATCAAGTGACATTTTGGAGGCTCTGTTTTTATTTTCATATGAAAATTTAGAACAAGTGTAATTCCGATATTTACACTAGTCTGACTCAAGGAAAGTTACCATTAATGAAATTCTAAACTCAGCATATTTTTGGTACATGGTGATCTCTGTGCTTCTCATTTAAAACATGACAGATCGTGCTAAATAAATTACATCCTGACAAGTCATGGCACTCTGTTTCCTAAATCAAACAAACTTCAGAAAAATGTGGAAAAATGGAGTCATTCTTAGCTGGTGCTGTGGATTTATGCAGGACAGACTGTGTAAGAATTCCCATGTCAGTGCTTTCCTGGTTAGATGATGTTTTATTATGTTGGCTACAAAAAGGGGACAAATCTGCTGGGTCATCTTGATGTAAACAAACATTTGTAGCTGTTTTGCAGAACTTTAACAGTGCAATAACATCATAACAGTCTTTAAAGAAAAGGCATAAGTAACTTGACCCTATGTGGAGTGGGATTCAGTAAAACTTTGATTTCATTTAATTTCATCTGTCAGCTTGATAAACACCCACAATATTAAGTAAATAAAATAATAATTAAAGGATAGTGTTGGAACTTTAAATCAAGAAAGAAAAAACCTATTTAGCACCTCAATATATTCCCTTACCCACCCGCTGTCACTTCCCATTGTTATGTAAGCACACCACAAACTAAAGCAAAAAAATAAATAAAGAAGAAACGACCCAAAAATAGTTTCTCACACTGACATCCAGCAGAGTTATGCTGGTACGAAATGATGGAGCAATACATGAACTGTTTGACTGAATCCCATTCAACAGCTTCACACATCCACTGTTTAAAAAAACAAAAAAACATTAACGTTTCTGAAGATTTTTTTCCTTTCTTTTCTGTTGGCACTTTTAATATACTCCCACCACCTCTGTCCCAGTGAATAATCTAAATGGCTTTCTTCTACTTAGTTCTTTAGACCTTTGTTGTGCATGCATTCGTCCACCTCGTGTCATTCTTTCTTTGTCACTGTCACTCTCTCTAGCTCACTCTCTGTCGGCCTCAGACCACCAACCAGTGATGCAGCTGTGAGACAAATACAACATGCCCATGTAATCACACATCATCATGTCGGTGAGAGCTTGTATGTTACTGTAAAACCTGCAGATGTGTGATGCAGTATGTGTATGACAAGACAATTATGGATGTAACACTCACAGTGAACTGCCGAACCTCCCCGTTATCCACCAGATGATGCTCCGTTTCAGGAGTGATGGCATAAGCCAGTCTCTGTTAAAGTAAGAAGTAAAATAAATACACTTGCAAATTTTCAAATATCATGGTTTGTTTGTTAGATAGCTCAGTCTAAGAAGACATAGCTCTGACTTACGTCGCAAAACTTTCCAGGCAATGTGCAGAGTTTGTAGATGGCATAGATGGGCACCATGGCCATTGAGGACATAGCCAGACACCACCCCAGCAAGTTAGCCCATGGCGGAAACGTGTAGGAGCCATAATTGGGAGGGTTGAACGTGGCAAAGCTCACCACAACCATAAACTATAGGAGAAAAATGGAGTGAACAAATATCGTCCTTTGTTGATTTATCCCTCCACAAATACACAGCTTACATCTCAGTGTCATGGTCACTGTTGGAAACACAGTATTTTGATACGGATATCAACCGTGCGTATCTTATGGTGCCATGAATATAGTGAGTAAGACTCACCAGGAGGAAGCAGGGGCTGACAAACTTCCAGCACAGCCTCCAGTACCGGCCTGGGCGCTGGCCAATCATCTCCTCAATATCATCACTGAAACGATCCACTCCTAAAGCACACAGTCACACCCCAAAGACAGGATCAGATCAGTCTATAAGCTGTCATTAATTGGGTTTTGGGAGTACAATCACTCTCTCTGACGCAATCCAATAAAGAGTATAAAATAATCTATCCTTAGTGTGCTCCTTATGCATGGTTTTCCATTACAGGAATGATACCAGCTATAGTAGTAACACTACTGAGAACAAAAATGAAATTTTAATGAAAAGGAACAAGTAAATTAAATATATTAATAAAGACCACTACAGTAAACCACTGTACAGTTTTTTCCTCTAAAGGATTTTCCTTCTCCTATTCCCTTTTCTTATTTCTTGTTTTATTTGGCGTCTTCCTGCCTGGAAGGTATCTCTCATTGCAGAAGAATATATCCAGACTGACGAGCAGGTATTTGGCACAACGTAATGTACTTAAGCAGTGGACAGCAGAACGAAAGACCATAGCAGCCAGGGGTCGAGGGTTCCTGTCAGCAGTTATGATGGTGGAGGAAAAAAAGGCCCACAAAGGCCCACAAAACCCTTAGGCTTGATTTATCTGGGTTGCCAAGGTCAGGACACACCAAAGTGGGGCAATATGCTGACCCCTTTGCCTGGGGCCTTTTTAGTATTTGGTCCTTTATTCACGTCTCAACAGTCAGGTTCAGTAGACAAGAGAAAAAAATCAAATACTCAGTATGGCAGTTCAGGTCAATTGTTTTCTTAAACCTTTGGATTGTTTTTCCTAATGATTTGTGCCTGTGAGTGTATCAAAAAGACGGTCAAATGGCAGTTTCTCGTAAAGTTAGTTACGCTGAAGGTGAAAATCCTCCTAAAAGCAAACGGTCAGCATTTGGCTGACCAAATCTAGTAATAGCGGGAGCAATTCTTCCCCACCTAAAACAGCTAAGGCCATAACATTTATAGACGCTTTGTGGTGTTTTTTAATCACTTTTGAGAATTATTGTTTTGTAGTTGCTGCTCTGTTTTTTCTGCTGCAAACAGCTATGACTCTAATTTTCCTAAACTCTTGAGACTAATCTAAAAAAAACAACTATGAAAGTCACTTATCTTCTAAATCTTATCACTTAGCACTTCAACTGTTGGCTTGGCTTCCACTTCTTAATTCATCTTTATACAGTTAAGTTACACACAATCACAAATTAAGAGCACACTTTCAACCATTCTGAATTTCAGATTATTTTTGTTCCCAAGGCACAGTTTGCCCAGTGTTAACACTGGCAATGGTCAGAGTCCAGACCATTCTATTTTCTTATGATATGACCAACACATCAACAACAACCTAACAGCAGATGTACACACTTTGAGGGCAAAGACAACAAAACAAAAAAACAGCAAAAGTCATTTGTAGAAATGGATCTTCAAAGGCAGTATTCTTATATTTAATAGAACTGTGTTGTATTGAAGCACAGAACCAGTGCGGCAGTAGATTTCTCATCAGAGCCTTAATAAAGAATCAGCTTTGCCGGCCATGACACAATGCATCAAGTGTTAGCCCCTTTCCTTTCTCCCATCCATATTTCTCACCATAGAACCATGCGATGCCAATGGCTTCAATAAGCACTCCAAACAGAATCGATGTTCCTGCTGCAAAATGGTCCAGGAGAGTAAACACATACATCCCTCCCTGAAAGTGAAGGAGACGAGCACGTCATTGCAGCCTTGATCGTGTGTGTTGTGGTAATTTTGAAGAAAAATCACAACAATGAATCCTAAATGTGAGACGGACAGCGTATTTAGCATTGGTTGTCCTTTACATGATAGACAACAAAAGTGTTGTCAGAATTATAGTTCAACCAAATAAGATATCAAACAGGTGACAAACAACACATTGCTCCAGGTGAAACCTACTTACATTTGTGACACAGAAGAGGGATATCAGAAACGTGGCAACAACAATGAAAAGGGTAAACAACTCTCTGTGCTTGTGAAGGACTTTGAATTCATCAATTAGCCCAGTGATCACTGACTCCATTCCACCCATCTTCAACAGAGCCCACAAAAAGCAGAGGGAGACACAAAACCTCTTTAAAATACACACAAAAACCAGATATGTGACATCCATGAATTTGGAGCAAAAAGGAGATGTTTTCTGTTGAACTGGAAAGGTGTGTGTGTGTGGGGGGGTGCACACTCACAGCACTGTCTATACCCAGTGTCAGCAGCATGATGAAAAAAATCACTGCCCATACTGAAGACCCTGGTAATGTTGCAATGGCTTCTGGGTAAATAACAAACACCAAGCCAGCGCCTAAAAATAGAATACGGTATTAAGAAAAAGAAAACATTATTACCCCTCGAACCACACAACCAATTCAGGAAGCTGTACAAAATATCAAATATCTATTTTAATTATTATTTTAAAATAAATATTGTTTATCAAAAGCAAGTCAATTACATAATAAAATATAAGAATACAAGTTCTCTTCCTTCTCTTTAACATTTTATTAACTTAAATAAACAGCATGCTGTCATGTTTTTTTTATTATACAAGTTTGGTTTAAAATACTTCCAAATTGTTTCCTTCTTTTTTCATTCATATTTAACAATTTATCTGGAAGTTGCGTTATATTAAGATTATACTATATAATGATTATATAATACATATATGATAATCATAATATAATAATTGTAATATAATATAATATAATATAACATATTATATAATTGTAATATAATTGTAATTATAATCATAATTGTAATATAATATCATATATATTATAGTTATATTACTAAAACATGTTATTGTTGTGCACCTTCTATCAGAGTATTAAAAATGTAATGTTCTGATGGTAGAAATAGCCTGTATGAGCTCCACATGATAACGTACCATCTCTGGCAACTTTGTCTAGAGCCACGTTGTGCTTTTGGGACATGTACCCAAGGAAAGAGAAGACCACAAAGCCAGAGAAGAAACTTGTTAAAGAGTTGATTGAGCTGGTTATGATGGCATCTCTGGAAAAAATGACAATGCAAAAACAATAGTCCATAACAAGAATGTAAAGAAACACAATAGCAATATTCAGCAAGTGGACAGTTTAAACTGAAAAACACAATAACAAGTCTGGACTGTTACAATGAGTCAAGATCTAAGTTTGGAGAGCTTTTAACTGATGCTTTTATCAGGTTATCAATCATTTTTATTACGAGACTCAGCCAAAAACAAGTTAAGAAAATGATCGAGAGATAACTTCACTTATAGTATGCAAAAAAAAGCTATTTCATCCTTCTCCTTCTCCGTGTGTGACGAATGGTTAGTATGCAAAAAGCAATCCTCCAGGTGGACTGTGTCATGTGTTACTTATCAGAAACATTTAAAAAGCAAACGAGGAGATAAAAGGATTCCGTGGTTACGGCTGTCTGTGGCACAGCGTGGTGTTAAACACATAGGGGCTTCGCAAAGCTTCAAAGGTCATTGTAATTCACCTACTCATGTCGCTGGCATGTCTTCTCTGCAATCAAATTCCCCCCGTATTCCCGCCTTCGTGAATCCCCACCTGCCTCTCGGTGTATGCACCTACCTGTAACAGTTGTTGCTGAATTTGTTGTAGCTGGAAAAGGCAATTAGCACACCAAACCCCACTCCCAGTGAGAAGCAGATCTGTGTTGCTGCCTCGATCCAGACCTGGGGAGCAGAAAGAACAAGCACACTTGTGTGAAGCGGCAAACAAAAGGCACAGGAGAGGAAAAAAGCCATTATTAGAGATAATTGCAGGAAACTCATTCAACAGCAGTAGATGAAAGACGCTTGTGAATATGGGGAGTAATTTTGCAAATTACAGCTCCATGCATCTATCTAATCTAATTCTCCAATTGCTCCCATGCATCTCTCTGTGTCTTTCTTTCTCCTCATTCTCCATAAGTGAACCACTTTGTACTGCATATTTGCTTATTGAGCTTCTAAACCACTATTTAGTGAAATAAAATATTACACACCGCTATAAAAGGCCCATTAATAAGAAAAATGGTACTCAGACTGTTTTCATTCTTTCTAAGCCATCAGTAAATGCCTCTTTAACAGAGAAAAATCTATGTTGAACTAAATCCCCAATTTTGAATTTTAAAGGAATAGGTCCACATTGAAGTTATCTCACTTTTTTAACATTGCCTTTGAAAATAAAGAAGAATATATTTTCCGAAATTGACTAGGATATACAGACATTGTGTGTGTTTTTTGTCTTCTCTTTGTTTTTTTCTGTTTCAGTGTATGATAACGTCTTTCCTTTGCCCCACTTCATCATGCCAAAGGAGGTGCCCTACATTACAGGATGGTAACACTACTGTGTCCTTTAACTATCAGCCAATTATAATCTTGCCTTTAGCCTCATATATTTGTGAAAAAACATCACCTGACTTTTCAACCTTTTAAAAAGCAATTTGATTTTGATTATTAAGAATATATCATTTTATAGCCAAAGGTTAAGGCATGGATGGATGACAGTAAAGTTTGTTGACTTACACAATGTAGAATCTTTGACTATACATGGCTGTATAGACCGACCAGGTCTGTACTTTCCAAAGGGTTGTAATGTTGGGTTTTAAACCTTTCTCTCATTGTTTTACATTGTGCAATATTAACAGGTCAACGGAATATTGAAAAAAAAGAATTTCCTTTGGTTTGCTGGTTCTTGATAAAAACAGATTCTAGACAATGAAAACAACAAACAAAACCAAAATGTTTAAAAAAATATTAAAGCCCTTATTTGATATGGCTTTTATCCACCACTGTATTTTCCCACATTGGCCCCCACCTCTCTCTCCTTTTAATCTCCCTCTCCTCGGCCCGCGCTCACCTTGGCATCACACAGTCTCAGGAAGTCCACAGAGAGGTATGCCTTAATGCCATCCATGGCTCCGGGCAAAGTGACTCCACGGAGGAGCAGCACAGTCAAGACCACATAGGGCATGGTGGCTGTGATCCACACAACCTGGAATAGTCATACAATTTGCACACATACAGTCAAATGCATATAAAGGACACTCCACCACTCACAGAGTGGAAAAAAGGAGACGCACTCACACACAAATACACTAACATAAAACTAAACCTGTATCCTATCATAACACAGTTGTGATCTACTCCATCAGACATTAGCCATACAGAAACATGGACAATGTCTGGTAAATGCCCAACCTTTCCAGAGGTCTTTACTCCTTTCCAGAGACTGAAGTAGAGCAAAACAATCACAACAGCCAAACAGGAAGTCAGCTGCCAGCGTGGAAGGCCCAAGTCATCAATACCATTACTGTCCTGAATATGAAGGACTCCTCGTCTGGGAAGAAGAACATCGAGTTATGCATTATGGCCATATTTGATTCACCACTCACAACAGGCCTAAATCTATCTTGTCTTTTAAGCATTTTCTCACCTACCAATAGGTCCCTTGGTAGAGGCGTGAAGTGAAACCAGCACTTCAAGGAAATACTCAGAATAATGTCAGTGACATGTGTGCCAGATCCAAGAGTCCCACGCCAAAACTATAGGTGGTGCTAATCATAAAAATAGTATTCTATTTAAAGAAGGTAAAGTAAGGCATGTGCAGATGTCTAAGTAGGATTTAATTTTTTCAGAAAAGTTGAGTCTTTTCAAATGTTTTAATATAGTGTCGTGTCAGCTATTAAAATATCTGTCAACCCTTGATTACCAATTAAAGGCAGACAGATATTTTTTATTCCAAATTAATCACAATTGGAGGAAAAGCACAAAATATGTTGAGGAGTGGGCTGCATCATGCTGAGTTTCACTAAGTGCACAATAACAACCACAATGCCCTGGTAGCAACAGCATTTGAGATATAAATATGGATCTGGATCTTGCTTTCATAAAACTCACAAAAGCACAAAAACAGTTTTGTTCCCCAGGCTGTCTCTCTGATTACTCCATAACTCACCTGTCATCCATGCCCAACGCACTATGTACATTTATTCTGTATCTGCTTTTGTGTAGATTTATCCTATATCTGTACTTATGTACATATATCTGGTTGTTTTTGTAAATACTAATACCTGATTTTTGTATTTAGTATGTAACTCCACTAAAGTGAGAAACATCCAGAGTCAAGTTCCGTGTATGGTCACAAAAACTTGGCGAATAAAGCCGATTCTGATTCTGATTCTGAAATCAACCAGTGTTTTTAACATCTGAGTACAAAGGGTGCATCATCTAAGTGATAAAATTGATCAATTCTGAGGTGTGCTTTTGTATTTCACCCCAAAAAGTTTCCGGATTAATTGTAGAATGACTGAACATTATAGGTATCTTTATTCAAATCATTTCAGACAGAGCCAAACAGATGAGGCTAAATATGAGCACCAGTGTTCTGCTTATGTGATGGCATCATTTGCAGGTGGTAGTTACCACACTGCCTTTCAGCTGTCAAGCATGAGATGCCTCAACTGTCACAATAGAACAACCCCTCACCAGCTAGAGCAGGACACCTGCTCTGCTCATAGAATGGGAGGCAACGTCTGCTGGATGCAGTCAAATGCCCCCCCCCCAAAAAAAAAGGAAAGATATTTAGTAAAATATCAGTTTCATAACAATGTCATGTAAGAAATCAAAGCATTCACTAAGTCTGTGATGAAAAAGTATTGCATAACAAGTCAAAACTCCAAGTAGTATCGATCAAATTACTGCAATGGACGAGGTCAACTTACTCAAAGTACTCCTGGGCTGGAGTGGCTTTGTAAATGTCACCAATTGAGCTGTTGTCAGCCCAATCTGAGCAGTTTGCACTGTTCCAGCTGTTGTTGCAGTGGACCCAGGGTAGCTCGCGGGTGAATGAGGAGAAAAGGTAGAACAGAGCCCAGGAGATGATGACATTATAGTAGAAGCCAACATAGAGGGAGATCAGGATCACTGTGAAGCCCACCCCTGTTGGGGGAAAAACAATTAGGAATCACATAAAGACAATAGTACAAATATAACTATATAGATCACTGGAAGATCCTTCCATCAGCTTAGAGTAATTTTGAATTTCATTCAACATCACATTTGGCTTTTGGGTTACTGGCATTACCGAGATCCTTTTTGATTGCTAGACCTATAGAATTCCCAAGCCAAAACAGGAAGACAATTTCTTGTATGCTTCCTTAATACACAGAACAACAAGATGCTCTTGAGAGCTTTGGTCAAAGGTAAAAAAAAACAAACCCATGCCTGTTGTGATGTGCATGAAAAGTTCGAATATGGTAATGGGAGAAACTCACCGATGAACAAACATCAGTTCAGCAGCCTACCAACCACATGTTTATGGAATTGACGACCGTGTTTGCAACATAAGGGAAGTATCTAAAATATTATTTAGGGCAAATATCTGTGAATTTGTTCAATAGATTACAACAATAATGATTTAAAAATTAATCTGCTCACATGTTTTTAGCATCTACATGCTGCTTTGGACTTTGCAGACACATGTGCAGTTTCACTCTGGATGTTACTGGAGTGTATAGGTTAGAGTTTTTCATTTTTTTTGGGGGGGGGCAACCTTTAGGGGCTACATTTGGACTATACACACAACACATTTTTTCCTGTTTATTTTATCACAAAGAGCTGTTTGTCAACAGAAAAAGAGGCCTAAAATACGTGGGTTCCAAGTTGGACACACCACAAAACACAATCTCTTCATCAGCGTGAAACCCACAAGCTGAACCAAAAACTGAACTTTTGAGCACAGCTTCTTCATGCCTTAATTATCAGCACATCTACCCTTTCTGTAAATCTGAGCCAATGTCATCTCTTCTAAGGCTGAACTTAATTGTTGACCTTTGCCGGGAGGCCTGACCACAACTGTGCCTTATTGATATCTTTGTAATGCGGATGTGGTATTTGTCCGGGGAGCAACATCTCTTATTAGCACCACATGTGGCCATGCTATCTCTCTGTCCTGGGCTCTCAGTTCTTTTCTTCAAATGCATTGATCCCAAGAGGAAACCAGCTTGTTGATCAGAATAATTACTGTCAATATGGGCATGTCCATGTGTATTTGAATAATTACTGTTCTCCCCCTGCTGAGCGGCAGAGAAAGAGTGAAGCATGTGATTAGAACGCCAACATACTCAATGTGTTTCTGACAGACAGCACATGCTCACACGCGGGAGGCTGACACACACACACACACACACAGGCAGGAGGACTTGGTGGCATATGTAAACACTACAACCTTCAGGCTCACAATGACATGGTTTCACACTATAATTTTGTCTAAGAATGTCATTCTGTTGCATAGTTGAACTTTTTGAAAGCTCCTTATATGGATTTATATCATATAAATCCATTTAAAAGCTGTACGATGGAAATAATTTAAAAGTTATAAAGGGGATTACAGCTGAGAAGTTGAAACAAACTGAGTGTGTCATTATTTTTTTTCAACCTGTGACTTTGCTTGAATTGGTCTTAATGTTTGATTCTCCATTGGTGTGTGTTTGGTTGGCGTTCTCCTGAGCAGCGCTTTGCTTAACGATGTGTTGAAAAGTGCTCCCAGAGAATGTCAGCCCGCGATACCCGAGCGGACAATCAGAACAAGATTCTAAAAGCCCAATTTTCATTTGCTTTCCATCCCAGTGACGACAGAAACTGATGTTCTGGGAGGGATAAGTAATGCCTGTCGCTGCTCAGAATGGAGACAGGCAGACAAAAGAGACTGGCATGTGGACCACCGGCTTGTGGGCAGACACATGCACAAAAAGACATGCACATGTCAAGCTGGGTATACGCAAACAGACTAACCCTTATTGTTATTGTACTCATGCAGGAAGCCCTATGAGATTTCTCCCATTTTAACATATTAACATATTTTCTGTCGCTGGAGACAGGAGTTGTTGGAGGGGAACTTAAAGAGGGAAGTTTTGGATGAAAGAGGTCTGATTGGGTTTATTTACACAAAACATTTCAATTCTAATATTCTACCTGTGCTAAATTGTGGTGATTGCATGACTCGAGATTTAATTCTTAAAGAAGGTGTAAAATGTACAAACTGTATTTGCGCACCTACTTGTTTAGTCTATGCTTCTAAGTGAAATAAAGAGAGTGTACAGTCCTTACATCAAGTTAACTGAGTCTACACGGTTTTTCTAAATAAACCTGCAAGTGAGGAGCACTGTGTGGAGCGATAAGTGTCTTTTTACATGTTGACAAGAAACGTTTGGAGTCAAACTCTCTCAATCTTCAGCTCTGGTAAGTTCAGTGGACTCTGTCTGTCTAAATAAATATTTACTCTTTTTTCTATTCCTACCTTTAAATATGGGACAGATCTTCCAGACTCCCGCTGCGCCCTCTCTGTTGTACTGTCCCAGAGCCAGTTCCATGTAGAAAAGAGGCATCCCTGCTATCACCATGAAGAACAGATATGGCACCAGGAATGCACCTGCCCACAAAAAACAGAGAAGTTGCAGAAGCAACCGGTGTGGAAGCGCACATATTTTATTCATTTGCGATTAAAAGTTCCATGTTTAATGTTGCATGGCTGCAGTTAGCTTACAGCAAAAAAACAAAAAAAAACAAAAATGTATTTGATTTGAACAAAAGGAAAGATTCCTAAAGGTTTCTCACATAATAATACGGTTAGCAACACCAGATATTAAATGTAAAATCCTCAACCATAGTATGCCTAGCTAACCCATGAGTCATGGTGATTTAATGCTGTAAATAATGCTTTTTTTCTCACATGTTGTAAATTATCGGATCATTATTTATGAGATTAGAGAACACTTAATAGATTATCACTAAAGACATGTTTTATTCTTATGTATGTTTATGTGTGTGGGCTCCCATCAGCCCGGTCATTGAGTTCAAACACTTGCATAATACACATGGACATTTTATGTAGACAAACAATCCAGCCAAATGGGTTGCAAAACAGTTTTTATTATTAACTTGTTTAGTTTTAGTTCAAACAAGTATAGATGTAAGATTTATCAGATTCTATGAGGAATCCTCATAGAAACGCCACTACTGAGAGGGAATGTGTCTATTCAACTAATTTCATCACACCTTTGGATCAAACTGCTTGCTAACTGACCAAAATGTACTAAAACTAAAAAGTCTCAACAGTCAAAAACAGGTTGTATATTGCGCCATACTTGATGTCAGCCTTGACCAAGACTGCTGTATCCTCTTATCTATAGCCAGGGTATCATTTAAAGCTCTTAAACATGATGAGAGCTCTATGTTAAACAGCAGTAATTAGTGACACTGATTGTTAGAGCTAATCTATGCAGAGCAGCTGTGGTGGTTTTTCCCCTATTTTGATCTGTGCAAAGGCTTGGGGAAAAACACACATTCACAGTAACCATCCCGCACTGATGTGAAACACACACGTGCTGCATGCATGTGTAAATAGTCTCCACATGCATATGTGCATAGTCTAAGATGAGACATAAAATAAAATGGCATAGCATGTGAACACAATCCATCCTCGCCTGCCCTTTAATGCACTCTCTTTCTAAGGAATTAGAGAAATGAACCCGAGCGTCTCTCAGTCTCTCCCTTCCCCCTACTCCTTCCACACATCTCACCTCCTCCATTCTTGTAGCAGAGGTAAGGGAACCTCCAGACATTTGCAAGGTCCACAGCAAATCCGATCACGGACAGCAGGAAGTCGATTTTCTTCCCCCAGGTCTCCCTCTCCTCCTCCCCACTGGGGTTGGTCTGACCCGGAGCTGGAGTCACTAAGGTGGTGGAGGTGAACTGCACCCCGTTCTGCTCCTTTACAAGGATCAGCTCCACCTTATTGGTCACAAAGAGCGTAGTATCAGATTGATGTTTTAAGCCAGATATTTCTTTTTCGAAATTAACTTAATACACACAGTTTCCCTTCTCATTTGTTTGGAAAGTTACCGACCTGTCATCCACCATCTCTGCTGGATCTACTAGAGCCCGGACAAATATGGAGTATTTACATGTACACACAGAGATATTTTATTCAATGGTCTCAATCTCGTTCTCAGGTTTCCCACGCATGACAGATGGTGGTTCTAACCCTCCATTTCATATACCATCCAAAGGCTTTTGTGTCCTCCGTACTAGTAGTGGTAAGTTCAATGTATCATCATAGAATAGCAAACGAGTGGGGAAATGGCCTTGCTAAATTTTCAGAAAATAAACATTTTTAACCTTAGAAATATATTTACTGACTTGATCTTCGTTTTTTGTTTTTATTAACTGATACAGCCTAAAATGCACCCATCAGGAGGCTTGCACCACATTATCATTCTGTGAAGCTGTCCATGATTTATGTGCGTGGAGCTCTGATCTGTACTGACCTCTTTGGGACCCATAGTGTTGGAGGTGGCTTTTTCAGGGGCTACAACTGAGGACATCACTTAAGCAAAGGGCTCTCTTTGTCAGCTTGAAGAAGTGGGCGAACTTTAAGAGCGAGGCACCGGTGGCTGTGGAAGAGGAAAGGAAGGTCGGTGAGGCTCTACGAGTCTTCAATGCAGAATGACACAGAAAACATAGGAAGAGCAATTAGTTATTCCCTTTATGAGAAATTAGGTTAATGCTCTATACAGATCAAAATTCCCTCAAGATGTAAGATGCCATTGCCAGTATTATGAAAAATTAACCAAATGCAAAAAAGCATAAAAAACAAACATTTATCATTCCCTTCAAAAGTTTTTTTTTCCTTTAATGTTACTTTTCAGTATATAAAGCAGCCTGCTGCCAAGTACATCACACATAAATAATACATAATGCATATGGGTTATTGCATTATTTTTTTCCAGCTTTGAAGTTACATGAAATATAGAGTAAGCAAGCTGAGGGCAGGAAAGCAACAAAGGATGGTGGGATTCAGAGCAACAAGGGGGGGGGATGAAGGACCATCTGTAGAAGGTCATCACTGCGTGCTCATTTCATTTCTCACTTGTTGATCGCCATTTTGAATGCAGGTTTCGACAAGCATCTACGCAACTTTACTGAACATGTTGCATGTCGGCTGAAATCACAATTCAGTGTGTTGAATTAGTTTAGTTCATTTTTTTTGTATAAACACTCAGCTCAGAGCTAATTGTGAGGTTTTTCTGCGTCTTAAGTACATTTTAGGAAATTGATTTTACTTTTATATAGATCATGAAATAATGGCAAACATCTTTGACATGAAGCTGCTGAAAACAGTTTATATCTTATATGTACTGTCAGCAATCAAAGGAAATTTGTCATTCAAATTGTCAACAGAAGAATTCCAGAAAACAAAGCACTCACCTTTTGAAAAATCGTCCACTTTGCTGGTTTGGATGATCTAATTCCAATGCCCAGGTTCTTAAGTGAGCTGCAAACTGATGCCGAACATATTTGTGCAGATCTTCAGTGATAAGTTACACTTGGAACCATGTAAAACAGCAATGTTTGGCAAATAAGAAAAAAAAAAACTGGGACATAGAGTCTCTAAGACAGGAGTTGAGATTTTAAACAAAAACAAAGATGATGAAGATTTTTGAATCTGTGATGACTTCTAAGAAAGCCCTCCCTGCCTCACGGGTTCCAGTGGCAGACGGCAGAGCACTCTGTGGTCTCGTATGGAGATCTGTCAGTGGGACCTCTCTTGAAATATTAGAAGCAATCAACAACACTCCCCCCTTCGCCGTCACTCTCCTCCCACCCTCTCTCCTCACATAAGCTTCATCCAATCCCCCCCTCCTCTCTCAGGCATCACTGCATTTTCTTACCTGATTGAAGCATTTACTTACACGACTTTTCTTCACCTTCAACGTACAGCTGTCAATTTTACACCCCTAGGTGTGTATATATATATTTGTGTAAACTTTCATAACAGGAATAAAATATATAAAATATTCACGTGAATTTGATGTATTCATTTCGGCCAACAGATGTGATTTTCACTGCATTTTGTGGTATTGCACAGAATGACGTTTTCATGGTGTAACAGGGAAATGGTATTTTTCAAAATAGTCGTGTAATTAAAGTTGTAATATTGTATTTAGTAGACATGATTTTGAGGCTCCATACACAACCTCAGACTCGACTGAAAGGCTGACCACTGATGTTTCCAAGTAGTTGCATTTTGAAAAGTGTTGTGTGCTTTCACAAGCTGAAACCTCACATATTTCATGCACAAAGCCATTTCGTCTATGTGTAAATAACCGATTTGGTTTGGTTAACAACTCTGAGCGGCTATTAACAAACTTACATTTGGAAATTGACCCACAGTCCATTCTTTCCAGAATCTGTGTAACATGTACATCTGTGATGATGGTTAAGCTGTTTTCTGGTGGAAAGTGGTGACAGGGGACAATCAAAGGTCCAGGCATACCGACCATAGAAGCATATTGAATAGCATAAAGTAGCATATCGACGTGATCATATGCATCTTTTTAAAGTCCTGACTAGAAATATAGCCTGGGAGGGAAGGGGACATTTCTAGAAACTTGGTTAGTTGTTGTACTGGTTAAAATTTCAAATGAGCTACTATGTTTGTGTCTATGTTGTGTGGACCACTGTTAGTGGGTGTTTCATATTCTGTCATTTGAACAGGCATCAACCTTTTTCCAAATGAGTCCCACCATCTGAGAAGGAAACACATCGAACGCCTTTGCAAATAAGTTTGTTCATGTTCAAACTTTGACTTAGGTTGGAAAAGTAAGTTCCTAGAGGCTTGTGTATAAAGCACAGAGCTGTCAGCATCACGTCACCTTCTGTCAAAACAATTATCTTTTTTTTTGTTTACCTTCTTTACCCCACCTGTATATAAACCTCACTGACCAGCCCACACAGCATGCCCAACCAGAAATCTCATTAGCTGTAATGTCCAATAGCCTGAACACAATCATTCCCGACACCCAGACTTCTCCCATTTCAACCTCAACCAAAACAGGATCAGGGCTTCAAATAACACAATCAGCCTACTCCCCACGGACAGATTTAGGGACGAGCCTCGTGTCCAGAATGACAGTTGTAGACTTGTCTGAAAGCCAGTCGTTGTGATCAATTGGCCACTAACCCGGCCAAAGTCTGCGGTCTCCACAATGTGTCCACCTTTAAAGTGCAATCATCAGTCAGGCCTCAGGTCTCACATTAGAAATTGTTGGGTCGATGTAAGCCGAGCTGGAATTATGAGGTTTCGGATGAAGCTTCGACAAATGACAAGTCACACATAATTGAGTGCCTTGTTTTCATAAATGCAACAGCTGAGGCCCAGAGAGGAGCCTGGCAAAGAGAGGGAGGGCGGAGAGCAGGAGCTGAAGAGGGGTGAAGATGAAGGATAATAAGAAGGCAAAGACAAATGGTGAAGAAAGGCAGAGGGGAGTGCAACTTTCCCATTCTGGGTTCCGTCTTGCGTTGAGGGGTAGAATCCCTGGCTTTCCGCACGACATCTCGAGGGGATGGGGACAAATGTGTGATCATAAAAACATTCATTCAGACTATTAGAACTTCCAAAATCTCTAAAACACACACCATGCCACCTGCTGAGCAGTGCTGCTGAAGTCTCAGTCAGTCATAAATTATGCTGTTTGTAACAAGATTGAGTAGAGAGAACATTTGTTGAAAGTCACCAAATAAGGAAGTGCTCTCTTTAATTATTAAGAGACTCTCTGTATGAGAAGTCACCAGCAATTTGTTAGCCAACTTATTCCCGTTTAACAAATGGGGAGTATGAGGAAAGGAACATCTGGCATCTGAAATGATTTCCATGACAAAAAAGCCCTGTAACAGTTCAGAAATTTTTATGTGATCAAAAGTGGTGGGCAAGTGTTTCTACGATATTGGATCAATGTTCCATAGATACAACCCGGCACCGACCACTGATCAGAAACTCACTGAAGATGTCTGGATTGGTGCTGGGCTTTAGAAATGAGCTGCCTGTTATGGATCTTACCATAATCTTCAATGCCAAAAAAGAGCCTGTCCCAGATGTCACCAATAGCTCTCTGTGCTTATCCTTCCCAATAAAATGCATCTGTATATAACAAGAAAAAAATAAGCTAATGTAAGCTTTAATACTCTGTATGCATTTTCACAATGGAACCTCAAGAGGGAGACATTAATTCCACAGTTCCACAGGTAGAGGAAAGACTAATTTTCAAGATAGAGCTTTTCAAAGTGTGAGTCAGACATCCTGGGGACACCCAGTGGACATGAGGAATCATGACATTTTTCCAAATAGCTTCTAAGTTTGTGGTTACTAATGTTTTCTTCCCCCTTTGAAAAGCATTATGGCCACATGATCATATACACCACTATTATACACCCACATCTTGCAGACATATACATACACTTCCCAATTGTGACACCGAGGCAGCAGTGTGGTAACGTTTCTCCTTTAATTCCATCCAAGAGTCACATTAACAAGTTACATCATAGCAGTCCTGAACAAATCCCAAGTAGCTTGCAACAATGACCCTTTATCATCAAAATGCATTAATAAAATAAAACCTGTTCAATATAGAAAAAGACAGGAAGTAAAGCTACAGAAAATATACAGTTCTGTTTCTTGGTTTCACATACACAATAAGCCATCAGAAAGACAACATCGCTCTGTTTGAGTACACAAGTCTTTCGTCTTAGGCTCACTGCTGTACAAATGGTAACAGGCAGGCAGCAATAGCATAAATACAAGGTTTGTTTGCAGGATTTTGATTTGTCTCAGATGGATCTCAAATTTAGAAAAAAAAACAGTAACTCAACCGTATGGAGGTTTTTAAAATGATGAGAGACAAAATACTGAAATAAAATAAATGCTATGTTCATCCAAACCCAACAATTGCTTTGAAATTTAAATACTGAAATGAACTGGCAGATTTAAAGTTTAAAGAAACATTCTGTTGAAAACAAAATGGCGTTGGGCAGGGGTACTTGCAGCTAAATTCTACTTTTGTCAGCTCCTAAAAGATTAATCTTTTTTTTTTAATCGTTATTCTCTTTCAGATTCAGCCTCTGAGTACAGTGGGCTTTCCCTCATAGATACAGCGAGCTGTCTGATCAACCATGTGGTGTAAAAGTCACATCAAAAAGGAGTACACTTAATACTTATCTATTTCACGGTGCAAACATGTTCAAGTCATTTATATCTTTACAATGATTTTCAAGCTACTAACTTTCAACAATCCTGAGACAAAGCAGAGGTTAAACCAACCAAAGAAAATGTAGGGGGAGGGACAGATGATGGCTCTGGTCCCCAAATTTCTCTGTGCTCCCATTATCGTTTTAAAATATATGAATGTAAAATCCTACCCATAGTGATAAAAGTGACCGTTACAATACTGTAACCTACAAATTGAACACGCTTCACAGCAATGTGACATGTATTTAAAAGATTTTTAAAAAATCTAAAGTGCAAGCACAAACACATAAAATTGTGAAGGGTTGTAAAGTAGTAAGAGGACAATGCTAAAAGATTGTCACGTAACATAGAAAATGTTGATCTGGGAGTGTGCAGTCTGGAGTGTTTGTGTGGTCCGGCCCGTCATGTGGTGGTGTGTCACCTCAGGGCCGAGTCACTAACACACACACTGTCCTTAGTTCAACCTGCACGCATTAAACTTAAAAGGGCAAAAAAAGAAAAAAGGAGATCGAAAGAGATACAAAGCAAACATTTGAAAACCATCATTTCTTAGGAAAATGTCAGGAAAATGTCCATTGGATATTGGACCTTTAAGGAGCTTCTGATAGTGACAAGATTGTCTGTACATTCTCTTTTTGAAGCATTAAAACTTTTATAGAGGCTATCAAGGCTATTGGTTTTCATATGAAAACTGCATTTTGCTTCGAAGCAGTCAACTCAGCGATAATAGTAATAATATAACAAGAAAACTTTACACTGTGTAGGAGGAATAGAGCACAAAACAACTGCCAGATTATACAAAAGGGAAGAAAAATGTGGCTCGTTTGTCACCCACAATACAATCTGCGGAGCAGAGAAGATCACAGATCTTTGTCATGGCAGTGAAAATAAAAATCATTCATATGCGTATATCAAAAATTCACAAAATGTCCTGCATTTGGAATATTCAAAATACATATTGGAACTCTTCAAAGCATTCGTCTTAAGAAGGCTTAAAGGATGGGAAATATTGCTTCACTAAAAGCCAAAATGAGGATACATATAAAGAATGCATGGTCACGAGAAAGGTGGAAATGGAATGGATTTACAGAGAACCAAAGAATTAGGTTTCTGATTCTAATGTGTGTCACTTCATCTGCTCAGGAGAGGTATTCCTTTAAATATTTATGTACTTTATAAAATTACAATGTAAAGTTTCTGAGAGGCAGCAACACAGTTTTTGTGTTTCTGGGGTGAAGAAAAAAAAGAAAAATGCATAGCCAATCAGCGTCTGACAACTGATTGCAAAATGAACAAAGTTACAAGAGCCTGATAATGTAAGAAAAGGGCGTTTGTCAACACTTTGAAAAGTGTCTGTGATTGCTCTGCATTGTCAGATGATTTCTAGATCTAAGAAAAGCTTAAAGAAATACATTTTAAAAAGATGACATTCAAAAGAATGTTACTGAGAATAATCATTCTATATAATAGAACTCCATCGCTAAAATAATCTCTTATTTGCTTGATTTTAGATAAAACTTACCTTAAAATCATCCTTCATTCTGATTCAAACTGAAAATATGGGCCAATCATAACCTCAAATTAAACCACACAGAGTGATCATCTACAAAAACCAGACATAAATCTTACCACAGAGAGATATTTCTCACTTGTTATTGGATGTAAAAGGTAATCCGTTTTACAGTTTACCTCAGAAAAAGAAACTACACACTTGTGTGCAGGCATGGGCTGCTTTACAAGTGACAGTGGGACTGGCTCTCTGAAAGTTTACTACAAGAATCGCATTTCCACAAACTGGGGAATCAGACATTAACATGAACAACGTGGAAGTGATGTGAAGGTGTTGCCATGGTGTAATGGTGAAGGGAAGTTGGAGATTTTGCCTTTACGACACCCAACAAAGCCATCAGACTGAATGTGCTTTCAGTGGTCACATGGTGGGATGTGTTCCCTTTAAGCCATTACACCACTGACTCCAAAAGACAATACAAATGTAACAGGTGGCAAATCTCCCAATGCATTTTTTTGGTCCGTGTCATGTAATTTTGATAAACCCAACTAAATACAAACACACGCACACAAAAAAAGAGAGGTGATGAGTCGATGATGAGAAATGACCAGACAGGGAGAAGAAAGAAAAGAAGAGTTCAAATGCACACAACCGACGGCACGTCAAAAATTATGACATCATAGGAATTAAGTTTTTTCATTTTTGTCACTGAACCCTGAGCTAAATCAAATATTGTACACACAGACACACACACACACACACACACACACACACACACACATACATACACACGACTCATTGCAGTTATGATCTTCAACATGCAGAGACCCGAGCTAACCTCAAACGTGGCAACTGAAGCTACATGCTTCAAGTGGTCAAACAATTGTCACTGGTCCCTCAGGCCTTCCTTCAATGACACATTCTCAGTCACTCTGGACTTCCACTTTTTAAAAGGCAGCTACCATTAAAGAGAGGAAATGGATAAGAATTAAAAAAATAAACAAGAATCAAACACATGGTTCACTAAAATTATGTTCACTTTGCTGTCTGGGGCTTGTCTGCGTTTTGTTTCCCTTGTGTTAAAATCATGCACATCCAGGACTATGTTGCAGGGAAAAATAAAAAATAACAATAATAAAATAAAACATTTGCCCCAGAGATCTTAATAAGTGCTTGCCCTTCAAGTATTCAAGCATTGTATCCAAAATAAAGAAGAAAGGAAAAAAGCCATTTTGGCATTTTGAAAAAAAAAAAGACTAATAAAATTAGCTTTTACAGGCTTAATCACATAAATTTAGTGGACATTACTAATAAAAAGGGTAAACTTGTAGGTGTGACTAATGAAATGTAGTCCCTTACTTTTCACACAAGTTACAAACAGGTAACTAACCTCACATGAACCCCTCTCACCAGGAGAGGAGTGTGTTTGCCCCCTCTAGAACTTTAATTGTGTTTCTTGAGGAGTGCATCTATTGTGCCATCGTGGACTCTGGGGCTGAAGTCTGGGCAGATGCCGTTGGCTGCTTTACTGGTGGCAGAGCCTTGCAGGTTCAGGGTGGCCAGGCTGGGCTGCGTTTGGTGGCCGTGGCAGGGTCCAGTCTGAAGGCCTGCGTTTTCTGTGTACAGATAGTCCTCTGCAAAGTCTGGGTTCTCCTCCACTAAGCCTCTGAACTTGTCTGGAAAGACCACAGGGGGGTGCCAGATGTAAAGGTATTATTGAGCACATAGATATAAGAACACTCGGTGGTGATAAGGCTGTAACAAGAGGACTTCCACTTTGATAACCAAGGAAGATTAAAAAGGAGACTCCTACCGAATGTAATCTTCCCTGTGTCGTCAGCGTCGATGGCGGTAAACAGACGTGACGCATTGAGGTGGGCCACTCCTAAAGCTGTCTTCAGTATAACTGCCAACTCCCTCTCTGTGATGGCACCGTCTTCGTCTGCCTCAAACATCTGGAGAACACAAAACATGATGGAATGCTTGGCAGAACATGGTCAACTGAAAAATATATAGTGCAGTTCTTTGGAAAACATCACATTGACCTAAACTGATCCTCAAAATATCCTTCATGGAAGCACCATGGAAACCACAAGAGCATTCACTAAATCTTACAATGGGTGGAGCTGCTCCATAGAATGAGCGAAATACAGAGCAAGCAATCTGAATGCGTCATTACAATTGCACTGATAGAAAGGCTTCTGTGTGACATTTAAGTACAACAAATGTTATCTGCCTGGTGTTTGGATAAGTGTGGGGATTGAAACAAAACGTACCTTGAAGGCCAATTTCATCGTCTCCAGAGTTTTGGCAGGTCTGCATACCACAGATAAGGCTATCACATATTCCCTAATATCCATGCTGTTATCTTCATGCTACAAAAAAAAAGAAGATAAAAGATGGACCTCGTGAGGAGGGGAACTACATTTCACAGAACCCGCCTGTTGACTGTTGCAACACAAAATATAGCCAAGCATGGCTAGTTTCAGCCCTATGCTGTATATTATGCTGTAAAGTTGCAAGAAACCACAAACTGCTATAGAAATGACACATCTCTGTTTGTTGTTCCATCTTGAGAGTATTGAACAGCGTTCTAAAGTTGCCGCAGGACGGTTGAGCTGCAGTGGTTGTGGCAGTTTTTACCTCGTCAAAAAGAGCAAACATGTCTCGCAGCATATCTGACACTGGAACATCGAGGAAGTGAGCAAAGTCCTCCAAGTTCAGCTTCTGCCCCTCCAGCTTCCTGGCTCTGTTCCCATAGTCCTGCAAAACCTTCTCTGTGTTCCGGGGTTTTAGCCTGCCAAAAACACAGGACACATGAACCATCTTTGTACATATGACAAACACAATAAACAAGTAAAGAAAACAGAAAAAAAAGGGCTCCATTCTGAAATGTAATGAAAACCCAAGGCTTGTAGACTTTCAAACCAAATCAAATTTCACTGTGTTTGAACAGTGAAAGTTGTTTCTTTCAGGATTTTCAATTTTCTAACAAATCGGAGCACCACTGATACTGGCACACCTAAAGATTGAGGAAGGATGGAAAGCTTATTCCTGGTAGCTGCTTCTTCCTCAGATGTCAGTGGATCATGTGTTCCACCAACCTTAAGCACACACCTGGTCAAAGTGCACTTCCTGGAAAGCACAACGAGGCTTCCTAACGTTGCTGAGAGTGAGGAGTTTGCGTGCTCCCCCTTTTCTGCTCCTTACTTACTTTTCTATTACAGGTTCGGTGCTTTGGAAAGTTTAAGTGACTCACCCCAGTCTCCTAACGAGCTTGGCAAACTCAAGCAGACAGGTGTCGACTGGCAGTTTCAGCTGGCCCTCAGCCATGGCCAGCTGGCAATCTTCAAATGAATAGTCTGTGATGGGTACCCCCAGGGCTCTGAGCGCAGCATGGAGGGGACAATGATGGGACATGAGTGTGTGCAAATCAATGCAAACTTTGCTAAGGGCTTACTGCGTAAATACAGAAGCTTATGAGGTTATTATGAAGAGAACGACACACCTAGTTTTCATGACAAAAGAAGGGAAGAGCACAAGTAGAGAATGACAGCCAGATGTGAAAGAGCCACAATCCAATTAATATTCAAAACGATGATGGATAAAACAAAAGTACATGCAGGTCATTTTTCATTTCATTATTCCATAAGTGTTAAGTTCAGTGTTGTAACAATATATTTTCGTTAATTCCTATTAATCCCATACAAAACAATATATACATTTAACTTACCTGGCCATGACTCTTCTCACATTGATGGCAAAGAGGGCAGGATTTTTTTTCTCCTCCTCTGAGGGAGTGTAAATGGGAAGGAACTGTGGACAGAGCAAGCATTCAACATTAGCTAAAGGTTTATAACATGGATGTATGTTGAAAGCAAATTAAAAACTAAAACAACAAAAAGAAAGACTAAACTGCTCCAATAAATCCTCCAAATCTCACCAAATAAGAAAACAAAGAGGATGGCATGTTCATATGAGGTTAGATTAACTCCTTATCTCAGCCAGAACAATAAGCAGTACAGATGCCCCCAAGCTTACCTCTATCACAAACTCATTATGTAACTGGCAGAGTGTCAGCCATAAGATTTCAAATCTGAATAAGAAGAAGACAAAATCAACAATAAACAAACAGAGGCACACAAGAACGTCCAAATCAAGAGGGAATAATATTCCAAAGTGGGAACAGAGTGCATGGTTTCAACATTTGGTCAATATTCTACTTTATCCTTACTTAGGAAAAGCATTTTGTAATACAAACTATGCAGCAATCATGTAATGATTTAAATAATAGTCAATGTTTGGTTTTACATACATCTACATTAAAATTACACACAATTTGTCAACGCTTTTTTTACAAACTCATGGATGAGTCACAAAAGTGCCTCATTCACAAGACAAGAACATATTTTTGTCTGTTATATTCACTGAATGTCAAGACTTTCACTGAACCTAGCACGTAGATCCGCATTTAGCTGTACTTTAACATCACTTCACATATAAACATATCTATTAAAAAGCTATATGGCCATGTACTCACGCTCCTGGTCCTTGCCACGTCCATGTAATTGTGTCCTGCAAAAACACAGAGTAGCTAAATTATTCATCTAAAAAGAAATGAAAACATCCACAAACTGAATCTTTAGACAAACTACTAACTTCTCAAAAAGTGATTTTTTACTCTAAGCTTTACTCCAGCCACTTCTGACATCTTCCACTTCCTCTGAGTCTACGTATTAGCTAACCTAAACCAAGGCCCGAGGGTGTGAAACAGATACAATTCATAACAATGATAAAAAAACAACAACTGACATTCAAGTATTTTTGTTGAATCTTTTGAATCATGTATGGAACTTTAAAATCTGCCTTTTGAAAAACACAAGTGACTGCCGCACAGTTTTCATAGCCACTTCCTCATATTTTGCCGAAGCCTAGCAAGATTAACTGGCTGTGAAAGACTGACAAACATCCTCTGATGGTGTCCTTTCGTGTGGTATGCAGCGTCCTCACTAATAACAGCTCAGCTTCTCAGCAGCTGTGTAGATCTGTTGCACAAACAACCATACACGGGCTGCACTGCAAATGCTAAGACGCAGCTGGAACGTGACTCTCAACATACTGTTAGGTTTTTGGGGTTTGATGTAAGCATAGGGGAAGTGGTTCTTCCACAGCGAGATGCAAGAGTATATGCTTTTTCCAGTCTTTTAGTCACGGAATGTTTGTGTCGTCATTAGATCCCGTGTGTAATAAAACCACCTAAGCCTACATTTTGAGTTGAGGGTTTCAGTGTTTCATGGCATTCTTCCAAAAATTAGGGTTAAGAAGACAAATACTTCACACTGTGGTCACAACAGAAAGGTCCTAAGTGTGAACACACACACACACAGTTGCATTTCCTTTGTGCGTTCACACACCTGCTGTGAGGTTGAGAGTCTTTTTGGAATACCTCATTTACAACATGTGTTTAATGTTGGAGATTTCTGACAGTGTGGCAGCAAATTGTTGGGGTGAAATACACAACTGTCAATACAAGCTTACCAGTTATTTAAGGCTACGTTCACACTGTAGCCTGAAGTGATACATATCTGAACTTTATACAAAATGCCAATTTATTTGGTGTGCTCGCTCACTGGAGTTTAGCCTGAATAGAGCTACCCCCAAATACCAAGTCAGTAGCCTTGCTTTCTGTCCACTGACTGTCCTCTGCATTATTATCTGCCATGGTTGTAGTTTTCCTTACACGTAGCAGGACGCATAAAAGTGGTGTTTGTCAATGACAAATCGGATGAATGAAACCTGGCTGAAGAGACACAGGTCATATTTGAAAAGATAAGATACGTATCGGATTGATGAACACACATCCAAGTTACCCGGATCGCAAATTCTTAAAGTCCAATCTGCGTTGTTCACGCTGTCATGAGAAAATGATATAGGTCGCACTAGGGTAAAAAAAGTCTGATTTGAGACAGTTTGCGCTGCAGTCTGAATGTAACCTAAGTCTGCTGACAATTGCTGAAGTCATCTGAAATATTATGACAGGCTGGATATAAAACAAACAGCTGAATTTGCATTATGTTTCTGAATTTAGTAGACGCTTTTATCCAAAGCGACTAACAATGTATGGGGGGACCGAGAGTTAGCCACAAATAGAGCTGAAGGCATTACCTGGGAGCTCACTTGGGAAACCATCCTGAAATAACTCCTTAAAAAAAAAAAAAAATCGCACTTTTCACATAAAGAAAAGTCTTTAATTGACCTGCTTATATGATGTAAGTTGCATTCACCCTGAATGGGAAGTCAGCTCATGCTGATGTGCTCTACAGAGCTTTTGCTACAGATTTCTTTGTCTTACCAGTCTGTTAGGATAACGAATCACTACAGGCTGCACTGGGACGGCTGGGATGAAGGCTCCTTCAAGAGAACAAATGTGAGAGGAAAAAATTTAAGGTCAATTGGCTGCTGGAAACAAGCACATAATACAATGTTCAAATTCACAGCCCCATTTTAGACCCTTCCTCTAATAGCGTTTCATATTCATGTTAGACAAGACATTACAGGCACAAAGCTAATTTGAGATTTAACCCGGATAAAAAACAACATAAGTGGGTATCAGAGGTATTGGTGGCAGGGGGGGGGTTAACCATAAACCAAAGAAACAGACCACATTAACAAAAAGAGCAAAAGAAAGAAAGACATTGAGCTACCTGGCTTAAAGGTGATGAGGCAGGATCTATTGGTGCACGTTCCTTCCGGAAATATCATGATCTACAGGGAGAGGACATGATTCATTGCAGAGGTTTATATCGGCAACTGCAAAGCAGCAACTAAGCCACTAACTAGTTTGTCTTAACCCATGAAGAAAAAATGTAAACAAATTAAACATGGTTGGGGAAACTTCGGCTTACCTGCGGCCATTCTCCCCCGGAGTGGGCTCGGCGCTTAATTTCCTCCACGGTCTTCTTTCTCGAGTTCTGGTCGGATCTTGACACAAACACTGGCCTGATGTACTTAATCAGAGCTAAAGGCAATCAAAACACATAAAGGTAACAGTTAGATGGAGAAAATACACATCAAACAATTACCTCAGCCAAAAATGTGTGATAAAAAACAATGATGAAGAATTAATGACTCATTTAGAGGCACAAATATTAAACGCTTCAGGCCAAGACAGAGTTGATTAGAGGGGGATTAAAAGCATCTCTCGTGTCCTATATAAATCACTTAGTACCAAATAATTCAAGAAATGTCACCCAGTTGTAAAATGTGACGCACAAACTAAAAATCCTTTGTGAACCTGAAAAGTCCTTCACCTTAATTCAAAGATGAAAAGTGCCAACAGACAAAGCTGACAGAGGACAGGATTCTATTAGAAAAGCTGTACAAGGAACAGAGTCATTACAACCGTGTCATATATAATCATCACACAGCTGTGTGTTTAAACAGCAGGTTACACAATGTACAGGTTGCACGAGTCCAGAACGATGCTTGCATGTTGATCGCAACTGCAAGTGAGGTGTGGTTTCCTGATTCGAGTATGGAGGATGGACCACACTGAAAAAGTGTCTCTGTAGGTTTATTGAACTTTGCTGAGCACTTCCCATTTTTACAAAGAGAGCCATGTGTGATAAATGCTGAACTCATTTGATAAAATATCCCATTTGGCATGCAGACACCAGTTTGTCACTTCTTCCAATAAATAAGTAACAGCAGATAGATTAAATGTTCTGACTTGACCGGTGTTTGTCGTTGGTCTTGTAGCTTTGTAACGTCACAGAAAAGACAAAGAGGAAAAGGATCTACTTTCTGTGAGAACAAGTGTTAAAAATAATTAAGATCCTCCCATGTGCCGAACGATTTTCACATTCATGTGTTCTTTATCGCTTTTGTGGCTCCATCCTCTATTTTAATGATCAGATATAGCTTTGTTTGTTCCTTTCTCAGAATAATAGGTTGATGTGCAAAGAGGTGTGTCTCTTCCTCTCTTCCAAAAAAAAAAAAAGAAACAGAGATGTTTAATTTGATTGAAAACGTACAATCTCTTAGTCTCTGTGAGAAACACAGACTAACAAGTACTGCTACAATAAATCCCACTTAGTGTCAAAGTGTTTTGGACATAAACAATCCACTGACTCGGGTAATGCAAGAGTCTGGCAGTGTAGTCTCATCTCTTCTTAAGGCTTCGCCATTGGGGCTGCGGCAGAATAAGCCAACCTTTACAAGCAACCAAACTGAACGTGACACAATAAAAAACTAAGTAGATGAGCATGATGAAAATAACTCACTTAATGTTTGCGAATAGAAAATGTTGCAACCAAAGTGTCCAAAGAAAGACTTAAAAAGAAAACTTAAAAGAGTTATAAGAATACTTAAAAGAACACTTAAAACGACAACAAATGGGTGTTCGGATGCATCATGTCTTTCCCAATGCACAAAAATGGCTCTGACTCATGAAGAACGTGAGAAAACTTCAAGGATGAGAGAGGGTATTGTAATTTTGAGAAAGAGGAGGGTGACATAATTAGAAGGAGAGACAGATTCCAACTGTGAGCAGTCTGCTAACAGGAAGGGATTAGGGCTCGAACAGGAGACACCGCACACGTGACTGCAGCGGATCACGTCTTACTGCTCATTCTGCTTGCCGTGCATAGCTGCTGCCGTCCTCATGCAGGACCTGTCAAACCCCAGTTTGCATTTTTTAGTGAACCCTCTGGTCTGAATGCTGCTCTACAAAAGAACACATTTTAAAACTGTCATACGCACTCATACTACAAGGTACTGTGATGTTTAATCCTAGCGGGCGACCTCTTGTTGTCCCTGAAAATTAACCAGAGATGAAAACATGCTGAAATATTACGTGGTTCCAATCTCACAGTGCAAGCGAGAAGAGCTGTTCTTAGTTGGTTGAGCTCCACTCAGGCTGGAGGTAACAAGGTGGCATATTGCTGACTTAGTAGCCAGGACAGGAGGAGGTGAAAGGAAGACTAAAATAACAGCCGTAGATCTTTACTGCGTGTCCCGCTGGCAGGGATGTCTTCACTTGCAGCAAGATAGGCAACTACACGTGTGTGCTGGTTAAGAGGATAGTCGTCAGAGCAGTGGGAGCAGTTTCTGCAACTGAGCTAGGCCTACCTGACCTCTGCACTCACGTTTCCATTCTAAAAAACGGGCCTGGGTGGCAGAGGCAAAAATCCATGTGCCTCTAAGCTGAGATCAACCACCATTTACAATATAAGCTAATACTTACAAGTTGTGCAAAATGTAAGTTGTAACATAACACCTCCAGTTTGATGTGACAAGCACTATTATTTAAAAACTTAAATGAAAAAAGACCCCCCGTCAGGCTTTCCTCTTCTAAATAAATGTCGTCTGTGGAGAAAAAATCAACACGATTTTAAAGCTGCATAATGAAATAAACCTCTTTACCATGACATACTGGCTAGTAGTAACTGATTTTAAAAAAAAATTCAGGAAAAACAAAGACATTTTTTAACGACTGCCTTTTGACATCAGAGGTAGTGTATTTTGACATCACTGTGATGATCACATGATGATAACGATGAGGAGTCACATCACTTGTTTCCATACTACAGCCCAAATCAGCCTTTATAAGCTTATCAAAACAGTAGCTAGCTGGAGAGTTGGGTGAGTTTGTACTTACTTCCCCACAGAGGTATATCCTTGCTTTCAGCCTTCATGACAATTGAAGACATTGTCATCGTCACTGGGATGGCATCAAAGTAAGACGAGTGGGGTGCCAGGGTGAGAATGGGGGCCTCTGCTGGCAGCGCCCTTCGCCCTTTCACCGTCATCCAATGGAACCCTCCCGCAAACCACATGACCCTCATGAGGACCTTCAGAATGATGTCGACCAGTCTGCAAAGAAGAGTGAGCGTGACTGAGGGGTGTTTTTCATTCATTGATGTTAGCAGATCGTTAGAAGTTCGAAGCTTCTTGCTGAGAACTCCTGCTTCAAATATTGACATTACTGGACAGGTATGACTCATGATTAGAGAAGAGGAAAGTAATTGTCTTGATTTTGTTTGAAAGTAGAAATGCTATCCACCAAGAAAACTAAGTCCCAGACTGCACACAGATAACCAATACGGAAACAGCTAACTGCCCATAATGTTATAGCTCTGCTTTGTAAACCGGTGGCATGCTGACTGCGCATTTCCCAGAAAGGTTTTACTTACTTGTCCTTTCTAAGTAAAAAGAAAAAACAAACAAGAGAAACCTTCAGGCATACATCTGTGTGACAATGCACCCACCTTCTCCAGAGGCACTGGGGTTCAATGGTGGTCTCGGAGCGCCCTACTGAGGCAAGGAAGGCGAAAGGCCAGGCCAGCAGCATCATGAATGCAGCTATGAGTAGTCGGATGGGGAATAGTGTGACTGTCATTAATGCAATCTGTGAGAGATTGAGAGATGAGAAAAAGAACAGGGTTACGGAAACAAATGCAACTGGTAGGTTTGTTATCATGCTGCAGATCCTGTAAGTCTGAACGCAGACACCACTGGACGTCCTCTTGGATTGGTCATGATCACCCGACGGGAGGCTATTTCCTGTTCTGTTCCCCCTTTCAGTTGCACTACACCTGTGACTCTTAACAAACCTCCATCCTTTCAACCCAGACCCCTGCACGAAGCCTCTAACCTCCCCGTATAATGTTGGAGCACAGTGGCTTTCCTCAGTCAGCTCAATCTGAACTTGTTTGGCAGGAACCTGAATGTTACAGCTGTTGATCTGTAAACAGGGATCCAGTTGTAAGTATGGGATGCATTTAAACTACTGCTGAAACATTTGAAATTGCCCTGGTTTGTAACAGAGACTGATCCAAATGGGAAAGAATTGCACATGTTTTTTTTAATACTCCATTAGACTTTCCTGTCACGTGTTTGACTCTGGAAAGTTGTGACAAACCCTACATCGGTACACATTGTTATCAGCTTTTACTACCAACTGATAATGACTGATATCTTTTCTCAGTGTCTTATCTTGATGGCAGCTACCAGCAGAAATCAACAGGTCTAATCCATTATGAACAGGAAATTCCTGTCTGATAGCATAATAAATTTGAAATTAAACCCAATCAATGCTGGTCTGATAATGGCATGTTTTACCATCATATTTCAAGTGCTGGGTCCAGTAAGTTGCAAAACACCTTCAAGAGCCTCTGGTTCTCTAGGTATTGGGCTTGAATTGACAGTAAACAGTGCGATCTGTGGGTGGGATGGAGGATAGAGTACTTTTGCTTTTCTTTTCATTAAAACATACTCATGCTCACACATCCTAAAACTCTTGAATGGCAGCATAAAAAAGCTGGAAAAGCCCTCTTTGCTGTGGATGACAAATCTACGGCACACAAACAACAATGGAGCATCGCCACATATTCTAAACAAAAACAATGAATATCCAAAAGGAACTGTTTTGGACTGTTTTGTCCAATAATCATTGTCTTGCCAAAAGAGGTTTGTAAATGCAAAACAAGTTAAGTTTTTTCGTGCAGGACGCTTAAATGATTTTTGCTTCGACATATTTGAGAAAAACAGACACATTACCGAAGGTCATGGTCAGACGGCGGCTGCCCTGCAGAGTGAGACAAAGACAAGGAGTCCACTGACCACTGCCATGGAAAGTGGCTGCAATCTGTCCCACACATCACCGCAGTTAATTCTCAGAGCATGAGAAAATATACACACGGGCATGACCTTAAAACCAGTTTTTAATGCAGCGTCCAACAAACTCTTTGCATGTTTGAAAACTCAGAACATGCAAATGGTTGAAATTCTAATCTCTAATGACAAAGAATGCAAAGACAAACTGCTTATTGTAAACCTACATTTAAAGAAAAATGTAAATGAGCCTCCCGTTTTGTCCAAACTGTCCTGGCTGAGTGTTTAGAGCTGCACATTCATTGATGCAGGCACTGAGTGGCACACTGGCAGCACTAAATCCTAATTACTGGGGCACAAGTGATCAGTGTTCAGCCATCCATGTTAAAGGGGTAATGAGTGATATTTAAACGATTGCTGCGCAGATCAATGTAAGCGACTCTGCTGAGAAAGAGAAAGTTAAAAAAAAGGAAAAAAAGGAAAAAGGCAGCCAGAGTACGTTGCTGTACGAATGTGCCGCCTGACCAGAGTGGGAGGACACGCAGAGAGGTTTGAAATGCTCTTTGTGGCTTTACAGAGCAAACATGCTGCTCACAGTCACCACTTGAGTCCGAAGGCAGCAGATTATTTACACAAACTAGCTCGGGTCCTCCTGGTCAGCTGAGGTTTGGGCAGTGGATATTGGCGTTGCCTGCGAGTGCCCAGACGAGAAAACCATCAGGTAAATTTAGAGGCTACACTGTGACATCAATTACACCACTACTTTGACTGATATCTGCAAAATTAATCTTTCTGCTACTGTTGTGCATTCTTAGACAAACACTGATAATGATGTGAAGAACACACACTCGAACAGCTGTATGATCACAGCAGACTCGGGTAAGTTAAGGACTTAGAAGAACGGAAAGCTGGTCGGTGAAGCACATCAACTCTGAATCAGGAACTTTTGAAGAGTCCAGAGAAAAAAGTCACAAGGTTACCGTTTGTGTATCATGTAAGATCAGTTTAATAGACTATAGTGTTTCTTTTCGCTGCTAAGCACAAAATAAATTTACTTTGTGTACACATGCATTTCCAGGGTGAATCCAGTGTTAAATTGAGTTCTACTGCACACCATTTTTGATTTATAGCTGACAACTGTAGAAGCCAAGCAAGCCATAAATCAATGTTGCCTTTTGAAAATGAGAATGTCTTACCCTTTATGACATTACAAAGATCTACTAACTAACAGAGTTTTGAACCATTGTGGACAAAACGTAAATCTGTTCTTTTTTTAAAGCTGAAAAGATCACCACATTCCATGCAGCAACAATCAAGCAAAAATGACTTGCTTCTGCTATTTTTCCAGCACACATTTTTTTTTAACAGTGAGCTTTGGATTAAGTTGGTTTTCTGTTTGTTTACAGTATAGATTACATCCTCTCACTGTGTTATACACACACCACTTTAGATGTTTCTTTTTCAAACCAAAATGTTAACCGTGCTCATAAATCATCACCAAAATGTGGTGCTGAGTCTGGTCCAGGACCTAAACAGAAAGCATTTTGGCTGGGGTCTAACTTGTGTGGATGCCACATTCAAAACAATGATGTATTTAATGAAAGTGTTCATTCATATTAAAAGAAAACACACTCCATTGGTATCACTGATGGTTTCAAAGCAGCTGAATTAACGCTTGATCCTCTTTGAAAGTGAGACAGGTGTCCTTTAAACTGCTGTAAATATAGGATAGGAGTCAGGGCCACCACCATGCTCACCGCCACGTGACATAAAGCTTCTGGCTCGCCATTTAAAGAGGAAGAAGCGAGTCTACCTAACCACAGTATAATGACTTGTGGGAATAACCTTATAATTTAATGAGGGAAGGAGGGAGTTTTGAGTCTCCACGTTGGCTTCACTCGTCACATCAATAAAAATGTAACATCACCCAAAAATGGATCCCTATTTTCACTTCATCCATTCAATTCAACAAATATCAATACATGTGCAGAAAACTGGACCTTTGATATGAGGGGGTCCATGATTATTGACACCTTCTCATAATTGTTTGCTGATTGTGTTGACAGCAAGTTGGTGTGTGTGTGTGTGTTATTCATCCTGCCAAAAATGAATGTCTGAATATCAGAGGGCAATTCACTGAAATGCTGATCCATGCTGTGTGAAAAGAAGCTATTGATTAATTGTCCCTTTGCCAACGTCAACAGCAAAAGCTCCTTGTTGGATTTATCTTGCAAATACACATGAACATCGATGAGACTTTTCAAAGCTGAGCAGCTAAGTAACATTAGAAGCTTGCCTTCTAATAACCATGAAACTCTGAGAGTTTAACTATATTATACAAGTTGAATTGTGGCTTTGGGACCCATATATGCAAAACACACTGCAAAAGTATGTCATAATAGGATGCTGCCAATGCACTGTTAACTCTGATCAGGGTAAAAATCTGCATGAGCAGCTTTAAGTGGATCGAAGGGTCAGCCCTTGCATTGTACACAGAGCAGTCAGCTAATGAATATCTGAACGCCTCGAAGGCTGATCCAAGATTAAGGGAACTAATTACTATGGCTATGGGTTACAAATATCCACACTCATAAAAACATAAAGCAATCCCTTATCCCATGGTCTGTATATGACTGCACCAAAAAAAAAAAAAAAAAAAACAGCAGTCACTTAATTGAACACAAAAAGGATGGGTTTTAAACCGACTCCAGCCACATCCATGGTCTTTACATTGCACTAAAAAAAACAGCTTCATGGTCTAACACTAACATTGGCCCTGGCTGATCCAACAAAACTGATCTGCTCTTCTTACAATCCAAGTGGGGACTAAATGGTCTGTTCACTAATATAAAATGTAGGAAATGGACAAGATTTCCCTAATGTGCAATGTTAACCAATTGTGCAAAATAAATCGACAGGAAAGTATAGATTTACTTATGGGTTTATCAAAGAATCTGATGGCCATTTCTCAAAGACACTGGGTTTTAAGGCTAGCGGACATTTACCAAACAGAGCCAGAGTGCTCAGTGCGTGCTTCCAAACAGCATGCTGCTACTGTATGAATCACATGAGTCTTAGTCTGAGGTGGAGTTTTCCTCTGTGCAGCTCTCCCTTCATAAACACGTCAATTCAGCCCGCCCCCATGCAGGTAGGGTGAGCGGTCACTGTGAGCTAAGGCTTTTTTTTGTCTGAACCTGCAACAGAATGACTGGTTTCATCTCTTTGAAAAAGTGAGGCGATGAGAAGAGCGGCTGGTTTTAGCTGGAGTCTACACTGTCTGTGTAAAGGTGTCTTCCTCTTGTTGCTGTGGATGTGAAAGTAAGCCCAGTGTGACATGTGAGCCCCTTGGCTCTCAGTATCAACAGAACAAGGAAACTAACTTCTTGATTATCGGTACATACACACATAAATAACAGTTTTAACAACAAAAAAAAACTCTTGTTTTAACCAATGCAAAAAATCTACACGTCAATATGAAATGAGGAAAGAAAAAAAACATTTTTTTTTCCTTTTTTTACCACGAGCATGGCTACTGGAAAAGGTAAGTTGTTATACATGTATTGATTACAACTTATGGTCATGTTTTCAATCGAATAAAACATAATTTTACACAGCGGCCTAAAAAGATTCCTAATACTGTCTCCTGCGTCATTCATAAGCTTGACTTGATTTTAAAAAAACTTGGTGGATGTACCAGAAAATCCACTTTTTCTTGACTTGGAGCCATCTGACATTCTAACTTTCCCTGCAGTTTCTATGAAAAAGAGCCAGGGGGAGGGATCCCTGTGTGAACCTGTATCTGTCATAAAATACTTGAATACCTGTTATACCAAAAACAAAGCCATTCATAAACAAGTGTCATCACCATTAGCTTTAACTCTCACAGCTGTGTCACATTTCACGCCCTTTGCTGCACAAAACACCCAATGCTATTCTTTGTAAAAGGAATATCTTAGCAGGCAATAACCAAGATACTAAAATACAAACTGTATTTTTTAATCTCTTGGTCTATTTATGTGTTTATCTTTTAAGTTGTAAGGAAGGATCCCTAAAACACAGTTGAAGTCTAAATGCTTTTAGAGCACATACTGGATTCTCTGTTCATGGTAGTCAAACATCTCAGTGAAGCATTAACTCAGCAGCTCATGACTAATAAGCAGAAATGCACACACCTCTCTGACTGTTTAAGCTATTTTAGAAGGATCATGAGTTTAACTACAGACCTCCAAGTATTTGTTTATAAGAACAAAACGCCATGCTCTCTCAGGGAGAACAATGTGAATGCCACCCATCAACATTCCATGTGTGAAGTTAAATACCGAAAATCTGATTTCCTAATTAGAGCAATTAATACTTGATGGAATTCATAGTTTCCAACGAAGATAGGAGAAACAACAGGCCAGTTAAGATGGCAAGGGCACGGCGTTTGACTTCTAGGTTGTGTAACTGTTAACCACAACAGTGTAAGCTTTGGGGAGACACACAGTTAAAGAGCAGCAACAAGCTAGGCCCATCTCGGACAGGCGGCCATGCTTCTGTGGCTCCATTTAATTCTACAAGGTACATGAGTGGGAGCGGCAGATTTTGCGGGGCACACTCCTGAGTAAAAATGCATCTCGTTTCCGCATATATAGCCGCCCCCCACCCCCGAAAGCTTCGTTATTTGTTTAATTAAAGCGAGACTGTCGCCAAGGCATGGTAAAGCCAGGTAAAAAGCAACATGTATGTGATGTTAGCTAGCTGGCAGGCTAACACTAGCACAGCTGACAACATGCAACCAGAAAAACCGACTCGTGTGCATGATGGTGACAGCTCAACCACTGTGTCGCACCAAACTGTTGGTGTCCTACGAGCAAGTGAAATATCGCGTTCACATGTCGGAGTTAGACTACGTTTAATCATTTGTCCGCCAACCTTACCTTTGCCTTTTCCATAGGAGTGAATTTCAAGACGTGCACAAAAGGGTTTCTGACTGGAGGAGCTTGGTCCATCTTCTTTCCATCTCCTTCAATCGCACAATGTCTGCTACTCGGCAGCCTCATTCTTAGAAGTCACGTCGATCGAGGCTGCAGCTATACTTTTGATATTATATAAAGGAAGTCTACTTAGCCCTAAAAGAAACCCTCTTCAAGCAGAACACTGTCTCCCTTATCACTTATGGACGGTGGCTAATTGAGGTGGCAGTGCAGGGTTATTAACGTTATCTCCCTTTCTTGGACAGCATGGAGGGATAATGGCTAGCTAAAGGATTAGCAGGGGATATCTGAAGTCGCCGATGTCACCCTGCCTGTCGTGCGCAGGACACCTTCCTCCACACTATTCCCCAACCAGACCAGTCCGCTAGCTCTGGATGCTAAAGGAACCACGATTCCTTTCCTCCAGAGCGCATGCGCACAATCACCTTTCTTCTTCACACTGTTCGACTAATGCTGCCTTCGCACGGCTCCTAAATATCGTAATTTCCTAATTTGAATACAGTTGCAGAACGTTTTTACTAAGAGACGAGACGAACTGTGGACATAAAATAAAGTAAAATAAACAAAATAATAATAATAAATAAATAAATAAATAAAAATATTTGATCTATCTATCTATCTATCTATCTATCTATCTATCTATCTATCTATC